TAGCCTGTCATCCCCACTATATTAAGAAGTAAGAGGAGGAACTACAACAGACAAATGCGGAGAACACTGCGGAGAACACTGCGGAGAACACTATGGAGAATACTGCGGAGAAACCAAGCGACAACAAGGCCACTATCGTCAAGAACACGGCTCAGCTCTCCAAGATCCCACGTTATATCAGTTATCCACTCAGTCAGCCACTCAGCTAGCCACTTAGTCTGATACTCTACAAGAGAAGGAGCAAAAGGAGGAACTACAACAGGTACCCCTGTTTTCTTAATCATTGGGAAACTAAAAAAAAATCTGCGATTTTGGCACCCCCCGATAATCAAATATCAAAAATTTGAATTTCCTATATAACCTCACCACCACTCGTTTTTACAGTCTAAAAACTTTACGAAATCTACTTACTATATTAAGGAATCTACTCTTAAATTTAGAAAGATTTTAATTCTAATCTTATAGGTGAAATGTAAAAAGCGAGAATATATCGCGAGTTTCAAAAATTTACCTCGGCTATTTTTTTTACCGCCAAGACTATCTCGAGAAAATCTAAGAATTTATTAGATTTTTATTCTACAATAGAACAACGAATAAATATCTTCTTTTATTACGACTTTCTTTAACTTCTAATTTTTTGAGACTCTAAAAAGTTTTGAGCGTGTTGAAATTTAACTTTGAGGGGCTTTTCGAGAAACGCACTTTTGGTTTTAGGGGGGGGCCCAAAACCGGAATTCTGTACCCCCCCGATTATGAAAAAAGGGGGGGGTAAAATAGAGGTACGCCAGGAAACCACCGAGGGGGCAAAATGCCGCCACCATCGAGAAGAACTCCGCCCCTCACGACCCCACCTCATAATCAGTCACCCCTTATTCACCCCCCCACATATAGCCTTTTTCTCTTACACTTTAAAAGAGGGAGGAGGGGAGGGGAGGGAACAAGCAAACCCGGCAAACCCGAGAAAAAAACGGAGAAGGACCCCCCGGCCCTCCTCAAACCCACCACCCGCTCAGTCAGCCACTCAGCTATCCGAGCAGTATAACCCTCTTCAAGCGGGAAGGTGACTAGGCACAACTTTACTTCTATACTTTAAACACAGGCTTAGACACTAATAGGCGCAACTCTAAAAAACCAAAGCGGCGAAAACGGCAGGAGAATCCAAAGGACAACTTTCCCCGCGAACCTCCGCATCAAGGCCACCCTCGGCAAGCACACGGCTCCGCTCCTTCTTAACCTCTCACCCTTCCTCCACTCACAGGCAAGGGGGAGAAAAATAATACAAAAAAGCCGGACAACCCTACGGCAAAAACGACCAAGAGGTGGTACTAAAAAAGGGAAAAGGCGGAAATACCTTTGGCGAGGACAACACTTGGAGAACCCAGGGTGCCAAAATCAAGCGGTTATCCGCCCACTCACCCCCTCAACTCGGCTCTTCCTTTCATGCTCTCCCACATAAGGTATCCACCGCCAAAAAAAAAACACGGAAAGCCAAGTACCCTACACTTAAACCAGGGGAGGAGAAAAACGCCGACCTCCAAAAAAGGAATTGCGGAGCCCACAGCCCACATACGAACGGCAATCCGCTTAGTCTCCCCCTCAAAACACCGCCCTGCTCTCCTACACTATCCAAGGGGAGGGACTTACACTTAGACCGCCAACAGGCAGATACGAGGCACACACCGCAGAGGAGGAGGGAGAGGACAGCAAACAAAACAGGGGGAAACAGGGCCCCCACACCAGAGAAACCGTTTGGAGCTCCAAGGGCCCACATCAAACCCTCTCCAACAAGGCCCCCCGCACCAACAACCAGGCACCGCACTCCTTACAGCCAAAGCCTTTTCCCCCCCCCCCTTTTTCAGGAATAACACGGGAACCTGCAACCGGCGAACAATTTGAAAACCAACTAGCCCCCCCCCCCAAACGCTTTAGAAGGAGCAAGCGGCGAAAAGGCCAACAGGGTCCAGAAGGAGAACAACTGTCGAGAACCCTATTCGAAACCACACCCGGGAAACGAAGGACACCACGGCCACTTTCCCCAACAACCCCGCTCAATTAACGAACACGACCAGGGAAATCTAACACATAAATGGCCCACCAAACCCACCTAGCCTATCCTCCCCACTGCATTAAGGAAACCGAGGAGCGAAAAAGACAACAAATTCGGAGAACAGCTCCGAGGCTCCAATACCCACAACACATACGCGCCACCATTACGCCACAAAGGCCCCCTCCGCCAGCAAGAAACCCCCCCACCACTCCACCAGCCCTCCCCCTACGTTCACAATGGTTACCCCTCCAACAACATCCCAAAAGGGGGGAACACTACGGCAATCTCGCCCGGGTTGCCCATTCACATTAAAAAGGTAAATCACCGCATTAACGCCAAATGAGGAGGACCTATTGCTACGACTTCATCCAATATCCTTAGGAGGTCGCACCGCCAACGAAGGTTGTAGTTGGAAGAATACAAATTGGCCCATTTTCTCCGCTTTTTCCCTATATTCCGAAACATTTTACCGCGGGAGGAGAGACTTTCGGTATTTTTTTACCCCCTGTACGTTTTCACCCCCTTTTTTTTTTATGAAACTTCCTAATTTCTCCTTTATACGGGCCTTTTCTTACAGGAAAATTTACAGATTAAATCCTTTAAAAATTTATTTTTTACTAATTAGGGCTTAGCGCCTGAGTTTTTAAAATTATAATTAATAATTAAATTAATTTTTATATTAAAATTTGAATAATTCTTTAGACTTCAAAACGCTTTCAATCCAAGATTCGGCGATTTTGTTGCACAGTAAGCATCATACGTCAGCTCTAAATTGCCGATCCTGTCGATCTGCGGCTCTGTCAAGTTTGACTATGGGTATGAAAATAGGTCAAAATTCATGAATCGAGGGAACCTCAGGATTTGAAGTCCCACTGCTGCAAGTTTGCCGGCGGGCGAGGTGTGCAAAAAGGAGCAGTTGAAGTGGTACCAACCCCTAAATATCGGAGAATTCACATTGACGAGGATGTCTTTTCCTTTCTTAGCGGTTAAACTTTGGCAAGTCTTCCTCGTGGGTAGCGTCTTTTTTTTCAAGCATGAAGACTACATCGACGGAAGAATAAAATCCAATATCTCGAACTCCTTTTTTGCACTGTGGTCTGAGTCCGCGCGTCCGAAGAATGCTGTCCGCCCTTCTGGAATGCGGGTCTCCTGGCAATTTAAGACCGGAGGACTCGCCAACATTGACCTGTCGTCTTGTCCTTGCGCAATGCTCGCATTTCTGTTTCTGGCCGGCCTCATCGCGGCAGCTCCAGCTCCTCAAGCAGATGGTCTGAACAAGATCGCCTTGCCACTTCCTCGTACCTTCGCTCGCTCCACCGGCGAGGTCAACGGCCCCGCCCTCTTGAGGTCACTGCAGAAAACGTTGAACAAGTATCATTCGAGGTTCAACATCCCTGGAGCTTCCGCCAATGCTTCGTTGCAACGGAGGTTGGCTACCGAGAACCTCCTGGATCAAGTCGAGGCCCCTGATTTCGATGAGCAGTATTATGGCCCCATGGAAGTGGGCTACGGCATCACCGCACAATTCTTCACCGTACAATTCGATACCGGCAGTTCCGACATCTTTATCCCCGGACCCCAGTGCACAAGCGACCAAGGCTGTCCCTTCACCGATAAGTACGACGAAGGGGGCACACCCCAAAACCGAACCACGGCCGTCCAGTACGGCTCCGGATACGTCGAAGGCGATGATTACACCGATTCAATCACCGTAGCCGGCTTGACCGCGGCGAATCAGGGCTTCATCTCCCTGACGCAGACATCCGGCTTCAACACCTCCAACTCGGACGGCCTGCTAGGCATGGGCTTCACCTCCATCGCGGCCAGCGGCTTCACCACCTTCTTCGAGAATCTGATGATGCAAAACAAAGTCGGTAGGTATCTTCGACGTCTACACATCACGCGTGGCACGAATCCCTAAGTCCCAACCTCGAGACATCCCACCCCACGCTGTACCTCAACGCCCCATCCCCCCTCCCACACACGCAACGCTGACCCCCCAACCCCCAAGCCGCACCCGAATTCAGCTTCTACCTCGGCCGCGCCTCATCCGGGACCTCGAACCGCGGCTCCCTCTGCCTCGGCTGCCGCGACCCCTCGCGATACAAAGGCAGCGCCACGCAAATCCCCGTCACGGAAGCCGGCTACTGGCAAATCGCCCTCAACGCCGTGACCGTGAACGGCGCCACGGCGGGCGCCTACACGCGCGGCCAAGCCATCATCGACACGGGCACGACCCTCGTCCTCGCCCCGCCGGCCGCCGCGGCCGCCATCTTCGCCCTGGTCCCCGACGCCTTCCCGCTCTCCACCGGGGACGACGGCGGCGACCAGACCTTCTACGCCTACCCCTGCGCCACCCCCCCGGCCTACATCCCGGCCCTCCGCTTCGGCGGCAAGTCCTTCGGCATCAACCCGCTCGATTTCAACTTCGGCCTCCTGACCTCGTCCTTTGCGCGCTTGATCGGCAACGAGGCTCTGGCCGTCAGGTTGGAGACGGAGGCGAGGACGGGGACGGGGACGGGGACGGGGACGGGGACGGGGACGGGGACGGGGACGGGGACGGGGACGGGGACGGGGACGGGGACGGTAGACTATGGGGGCGCGGAGAACTGCGTGGCTGCTATAGTGGGCACGGACGTTTCGCCGCAGGGGGACCTGTACGTGGTGGGGGATGCGTTTTTGAAGAACTGGTATGCCACCTTCAACTACGTGAACGCGGGGGGACGACCGAGCGTCAGTTTCGCCGAGGCGGTGTGAACGAGGGGTTATGGAAGAGCGACGAGCCGTTGTGTATGTGAAACTTTGACGGAATTACTTCTAGAGCGGATGCTTTGCGCGGATTATTTGGGTAGGTAGGGTAAAGGGCACATCGATGCCATCCATCTATCATAGCGTCCGTGCCTCATTACCATGCAATAATGCCAGTGGGACGAGCCCGTAGATCCCAAACCTATTACTTCGCAGTACCGATATCAACCAACCACCCATCCCCTTCCGTCTCCCCTTTCCCATTCACCCCGCCCCAAAGCACCACACTGCCCGGCTGGCTGGGCACTATACAACTCGCGAACCAGCCCCTCGGCCCCGGATGCGCTTTGCCCTCACTATCCTTCTCTTTACTCTCGATCCCCGCCTCGACCTTGACTTCGGCCCACGTATCCTCCCCAGTCGCTATACCCATAGCTTGGCGCGTCGCGTCTTTGATCCCGGCCGCGGTGACGGGGATGGCGGGGACTTGGTAGGAGTAGGAATCCGACCAAAAGGTCGGTTCATCCTTGTCGGTCCTCTCTTCCTCCTTCTCCGCGGGTTCGGCCGGCTGTGTCGTGGCGGCCTTCTCCCCGAGGAAGTAGAGGAGGTATTCTCTCCCGTTGCCCGTCGTGACGGGCATCAAGCCTGCACCCTTCCTCGGTCTGGGCCCCGGCGCGAACGGATTCGTAGGGAAGGGCAGGGTCGTCCACTCGTTCTTCGAGCTGGTCAGGCCCACTTCTCCCTCTCCTCTTGCATCGCTGTATGTTTCTTTTGTGATGGGTAGGTAGTGTATTTCGCTTCCGAAGTCTGAGGTGCTGGTGATGAGGTAGAGGCGGTTGTACGTGAGAGCCATGCTGGGTGGAGAGGGGGAGGTGGAGGGCGTGGAAGGGAGGGCGGACCAGGTGCGGGTTGTTATGTTGAAGAGCCAGGTGTCATTTAGAGGCGAGGAGGGTGCGGAGAGCCCAGAGCAGATTATGAGACTGCCGTGCGGCTCTTGTGGTGATGAGGCTTTGGCCATAAGGGAAGGGAGCTTGGCGATTGTGGACGTGATTTGCTCGCTGTAAGACGCCTTGCTCGACGCACTTGTTTGAGGGAGAGGATGCTCGCTACTCGCGGCGCCATGGTGGTATCTCGCTGGCGGTACAGATGTTGTAGCAGTGTCGGACGCAGGATCGATGTAGCTCCATCCAAGCGTATTGGTATCAAACACCCACACCCTCCCCATCTCCTCTATAGCCTGTCCATCGGTCCCCTTACCTCCAAAGAGATATATCCTCTCGCCAATAGCAACCGCCATATGTCCCGCTCTTGGACCCGGTACTTTGCCATCCTCTCCCTCCCCCAGGCTGGGCACGCACTTGTAATCTACCTCCCCGTCGTGATTCCCTTTCTTCTTCAACGGCAGCGTAACGATATGGACCTCGTCACCCGCCAACTTGCCACTCTCGTCCCCTCCGCCAAAGATGTAAGCTCGGCCAGTAAGGACTGTGAGGGAGTGGTTGGAGCGAGGGAGAAAGGCGGGGCTGGAGACTCGTTTGAATGTCGCGCTGAGAGGTTGGGTGGATTGAGCGAGGCCGTAGGCAGCGATGGCACCACCTTCGACGGTGGTGGAGAGGACTTGCTCGGCTACTACGAGACCGGTCACTGTTGCTGGGTCCATCTTGGGTGGAGATGGTGGGTGGAGGACGATACGGACGCAAATAGGGGCTGTTTGCCAAGCCAAGAGACGTACCCCGGTTTCCCCCCCTGCTCGGATTCATCTACAACATACTTATGCAATTTACAGGAACCAATCTCCAAAATCTTTTACTTATCGTTCCTCGTGCATAGTATCAGCGAAGTAAGGATTATCGATACCAGCGTGATGCCAACAACAAATTTGGTCTACGATACTCTAGCTGAGTGAGCTGCTCAATCCATGAACGAGACGCGCTGTAACGTAACCATGATACTTGTGATTGACTCGACTCCACACGACCTCCCGATGGCGATCAGCGTCAGTCTGTATGGCACTCCTACTTGCTAATACATCTATACCCCAGTTTCTAAATGGCGGCGCTATGTCGTACTAGCGTGGTTTTGGCACTATCAGATTCCAGTACTGCTAGCTAGAAACGCAACTCCATAGACAAGCAATCAAGTACGCACATCAGACTATGAGCCCGGTTGCAGCTACCGCTGTAGAACCACATCACATGAATTCTAATCGTCATCATCCTCATCCTCATCCTCATCATCATCCTCATCCTCATCCTCATCCTCATCATCTTCATCATGCAACGACTCCATTTCGTCGTCATCACTGGCCATAGCAGTGGCGTAGACATCGTTTGAGGATGTGCCTGTTGCATCTACAAGGCTAGGAGGGGGATCGGTGAAGAAGTCCATCTGCTTGAAATCCAGATTCAAGATAGTCACAATGCCTGAAGCAGAGCCCATAGCTATTTTGGTCCCACGTACATCGAACACAGAATCCCGCTGAGCTGGGGGAAGCCAGATCATTCTCTTCTCGTTCACTGTTACCCAACGATCGGTTACATTTAGTGCCTCCAGCTGCTTGTCAGTTGAAAGCGCGGAAGACCGAACCCAGTCAGGACGGCCTTCTAGCGTCTGCAACCGCGATCCGGACGCTACGTCCCAAAACACTATGACTTTCTTGGAGAGGAGGTCTCGGTACTTGCATGCGACCTTCTGCCCGTCAGGCGAGAACGCTACCGACATAGCGTTGTATCTGCCGGTGTCTTCGCTGACGTAGTAGCGGACGCCATTGTCGCTCTTCACATCGGTAACGTTTTCAATCGTCCGCAGCTCCGATCCGGATACTACATCCCATACCCGTATTGTATGGCATCTTATATAGTCGAAGGTGACGCACGCAAGCTTGTTTCCGTCGGGCGAAAACGCTACCGATGAAACCCATTTCAGGCCTTCGAGCTTGTGGAGTAGTAGTCCGGACCCTGAGTCCCATACGCGTACTTCGCCGGTGGAAGACACGGATACTATTTTCTGCCCATTGGACGAGAACGCTATAGATGTCAACATGTCCGGCTTATAGTCTTCGGGCGTCTGTAGCGGCGATTCGAATGCCATGTCCCAGACGCGTACCGTAGAATCCTCACTTCCAGACACGAGCTTCTGCCCATTAGGCGAGAATGCTACCGACAAGACCCCATCAGAATGGCCTTCGAAAATTTGTAGCAGCGATCCGGAAACTAGGTCCCAGATACGTATCGTTCGGTCCCCAGACCCGGACGCGAGCTTCTGTTCGAAGACCGCTAGCGATTTAACCCGACCGAGATGACCTTTCAGCGTCTTCAGCGGCAATCCGGACCCTGCGTCCCATATGCGTATCGTATTACCTATGGACCCAGATATGAGCTTCTGCCCGTCAGGCGAGAATATTACTGATGTGAAAGAGCCTTCACGTCTCTGCAGCTCCGATCCGGACGCTATGTCCCATACATGTATTGGACCCCAGCTAGGCCCGGACGTGCAGGCGAGCTTCTGCTCATTAGGCGAAAATGCTACCGAAAGAACATAGGAGGCTTGGAATTTGTGCAACACATTTCCAGACACTGCATCCCGTACATGTATCATATTATCACACGATGATGCGAGAACCTGCCCGTCAGGCGAGAACGCTAAAGATTTTATATCGGAGCCTTCAAACGTCTGAATCAGCGATCCAGACGCTACGTCCCATATACGTAGGCCATCTTGAGAACCCGACGCGAGCTTCTGCCCGAGAGGTGAGAACGCTATCGATTGAACACCGCATTGATGATCGATTGTCTGCAGATGTACTCCTGACGCTGTATCCCATACACGTACGGTCCCATCCTGAGACCCGGACGCGAGTTTCTGCCCGTTAGGCGAGAATGCTACCGACTTAATTTCTTCGGCATGGCCTTCGAGCGTCTGCAATAATGCACCCCAGCTATCCGGAACGCTGGATGTACATCTGACCCAATGTGGAGCTTGGCTCTCGAAGAGCTTCCGAACTATACTTGTAGACGGGCTGAAGATCAACGCCGAATGATATGTTTGAAGAGGTGCTTGTTCTATCATAAATCGATGATCTAGGCTGAAGCGGTAGGCATCGTACACTAATTCTACTAGACTTTTATCGCCATAAGACTACTTCTGATGTTAGACATGGTAGGATAATCTCTGGGAAGACTACCTACCTGGGCCAAAGCAAGTAGCGTCGAAAGCATCAAGACCGATTCGTGCATCTTCCCGAGCAGACTTAGTGCTTCGAACCAGTAAAGGATATTCTGCTCAAGAAAAGCCTGGACTCCAGTGGGAAGATTGGGTCCAAGAATTTTGCTTCGAGCTTGAACGAGATGCTGAACCCAGTGGGTGCAGGCATACTCGAGCTCTGTAGGGATTTGTTCTCGGACCCTCTCAGGATCTATCTCTTCGATAAGGGTTCCCGGCAGTTTCAAGTCGCAGATGTCTCTCTTGGGACTAGCTGCCATAAGTCTTAAGCAAGTTTTAGTAAGGGCAAGGTGCCTTTCGGCGCTGTCGACCCAGAAATCGAGATCGGTACATCGTCTCTGGTCGAGCAGGAAATCTCGAAAAGAAGGATGTAACAAGGAGATTGCGGCATTGCTCTTTTGGGGAACATTGAGGATAGACCAAAGTTTGTCCAGCGTGAGGTCGATGCCGTCTAGCTCTTCAAATAGTAGTGCTGCTAATGAGCTGACCGAGAGTGAGCTGAACAGGCTCACGATAGAGCCAACGATGACTCTAAAGCGCGAACAAAATTGCACTTTGTCATGCGTCGAGTAGGTCTTCGGTACTGCCTCTTGAAGAATTTGGATATATACTTGGTCGAGGTTCTCCAGAGCCGACGCTGAAGAGGCGTTGTTTTGTAGAACCATCTTTAGGCGCTCTCGAGGAGGCGGAGGCTTTCTTTCACCAAGAAATAGACATATAGTGGTAGCATAAACGAAAAGCTCTCCAGCCCGCTGTACAAGATTCTCAATATCATTTTTGCCTGGAAATTCACCAATCAGAGGACGTTTTTGTTTTATCTTATCGCATTCGTACTCGAAGAAGCTGCGAAGGTCTTGTTGAACAATATGCCGCTCGATGTCGTGAAGGATGATACCTTTATAGACTGTTTCCAGGAACGCATCACGCACAGATATATCTGGCCTACCTGTCATGAATACCCGAAACTCGATGTTGTCAAAAGAAATCGCTTCAGAGAGAATCCTGAGAATCAGCTGAACATCTCTGTCATCTTCACACTCATCCAGTGCATCGATCACGATAGTCAGAACAATACCGTGTGCAGAGTGGCTTTTCATCTGTGATAACGGTTCCTGGATGAGATGTTTCCACTGATCGCGTTTGGCTCGCTTGATGATATCAGGATGTCGATCGACGGCTTTGCGAATTAATCGAGCAAGTGCCCCGTTCTCGATATCGCACAATGCAAGCTGGTACGCAATGGAGGTGAAGAACTTCGAGGCATTTCCACGGTCACCTCTGCCTCGGGAAAAGAAAAAGCTGGCTCCCAGCTGCTCTTTCGCGTATAAATTGTGAGCCAATGTGCGAGCGATAGCAGATTTGCCAGTGCCGGCCATCCCGCTGAGCCAGAAGATCCGCTCGCCTTGAGGGTCGGTACTCCATCGTTCAATCAATTTGAGGATCTTGGTCCGAGTGCCGGGTAAGCATAAGCGCTCATGCTCAAGCTCGCCCGAATTGAAGCCAGCACCCTCAGCACGAGGGAGGGCGTCCAAGCGATCGTGGCCCGCTGCCTATAGTATAAGCAGTGTATAGTATAAGCAGTGTACCTCAGTCACTGAAGTACTCACAGTGAAATTGAACTGGTCCAGTGACATAGCCCGTGAAGGATTGGCTGCCTCCAGTCGTTTCGCTGTTACCGAATTGCAAGCTCACAGGTGGCTGGGACGAAGGAATCTCAGACGACATATTCATAGCAGTCTACTAGTACTCGTACTTCAAGGCTGACCGGGAGCGGCGGAGTCCGGCGAGGTTTAATATCAGAACCGCACCGAAGAAAATGAGTTCCAATGACTGAAGGATACTTTAATGTATACTTATCATTCACATTGACTGCGTTAAGCCAAGAGCCATGGGGGTCAGAAAGAATGATGCATGGCTGACCGAATGGAATCGATTACCTTACCCCACCTTATCACGTGCTGCGCCAGTGACATCATCAACGGGGCATTGCAAAGGCTCAGGTCTGTAAGGTATAGCGGAGGCTACGAATGTGCAAGACCATCCAAGGAGTTCAAAATGGCGGAGCTGGCAGTGACTGGCAGCGTCATTACTGTAGCCGCTTTGGCATGGCAGAGTACCAAAAGGCTCTATGGGTTAGTCGATGCACTGAACAAGGCTCCGGAAGCTATTGCACACACCAAATTCAATCTCTCCTCAATGCAGAGCACGCTAGAGACGCTGAGACACACTCTGGACACCGAAAAGTCCGCAGCCTTCGAGGCGGCCTTGCAGGGAACCAGGCTGGCCGACGCATTGGAGGGTTCGCAGCAGGAGTGTGATAGGTTTGGCAAAAAAATCCAGACTTATACAAAGCATTCGAAAGACACCACCGTCAGCAAACGCGACAGATTCACCTTGAACTTCCATGAAACTGAGATCAATGGATTCAATGGTCGCTTACAAGATCACCGGCAGGTCATCACACTCGTCTTAACTTCGATGAACCTGTATGTTTCGAGATGCAAAACTATCTTGTCGCTACTGATCCGTAGTAGGATAATCTCAAAGTCCTCATCCACAGATACCCAGCAGCTGAGTGAGCGATTCACAACTCAAGAGACGGAACTCAAGGCTTTAAACACGCAGCTAAACAATACATTAAGCCATCTTCAAGGTCTCTCGCTATCAACTAGGACCGACGAAAACACAGCAACCGCTGCTGAAGACCGCGATTGGAATATCCACTCTATATTGAGACTGATGAGCGTCTGTCGGGACGCTATCTCAGCTACATCTGAAGCAAAGCCAACCAATCTCAAGTTTGGAGACCACTCTGCAGACAATTCCCGGTTTTTCGAAGGCGTTGCTGGCAGGGCGCAGCGGAACGTGACACAAGCGCACGGAAATGCGGTCGTCACGGGCGGGAGTACTGCAGCGAGGGGCCAGATGGATGCAGACACTTTCAAAATCATGTTTGGAAGTCATTAGTATAAGTGTGGCTTCTCTATAGGCAACCATATTTCTGGTGTTAGGAGCATGCTAGAGCTGATCGTGGCGTCATGGCGACCAAGAGAGTGATGCTACGAAAGTACTAGATCCAGTGTTAGCAGTCAGTTGTAGGCCAGTGCCAAGGTTCCCGGGGGATGGGCCCTGACGCACTCGTAGAAGGGACGTGATACCCGTACACCCACTTTGGATACATTGACACCTTCCCTACATCCGGGTACAGCTTCCGGGTACAATAGGTATCAGACCCGACGCACTCTACTCTGTATTCTTAGGCGCACTTTCCGGAAGTTTGTCTGTGATCAACGATATCGTTAACCCTCGGGGGGTAAAGTGCGTTTAAAATCCAGCGCACCGAGAGGGTGTAAGAGCGAGTGTGCACAGGAGAGGTTCCCCAAAAGGAATGGAGGATTTTATCCACGAGTGACGCCCTCTGCAGGTAGCAGTGGTAGTCTTGGTGATATCCAACCGTTCCTCGGTCGCTCTCAGGAACTCCCATGAGCCCCCAGAGGGTGTCCCTAAGTATACACTGTAGGCTCAAGGCTGTCCTTCAGGTCCTCGCCAGAGGCTCAATACTGTTCCGTAGTGTGGGGCTTCGCCCGTAGCATACATGAGGGCAAACAGATAGCCAGAAAGAAAGCCAAAATGTGATGTACACAGCAGGTCAGAACGACTGCCGCGCTGCCTAAGAGCCTCCGAGAGAGGTAAATTGTACCAGTGAAACGGGGCAGGTCAGTGATCAAAGACCAAAAAAACGAACCGGTGGTCCGGCCAGTGATGTCGGTTTCTCTATCCCGGAGTAGGGCGCCAGTTGCCAGACACCGTCTTTCCATCTCCTACAACACACCGCTTCACAATGCCCGACGATATCACCACAGTCAGCGGAACGGAGGCAGTGAGCACCCTAAAAAGAGGGGAGGAAGACCGAATCGACGACAAGTGCGGCTGCTTTCGCGGCAAGTGAGGGTTCTCCAAAGAGTGTTTTCATGTCCCTTTCGCTTCCAGCAGGCAACAAGCACAGCCCTTTTCTCCCGTAGTTCGTGGCTTCTTTCCCAAGAAGTGTGTAGCAACAGATCACACAGGCAAAAGAACGGTAGTACTTTGAAGTAGCGTTCCCCTGAGGACGTCATTCAATCTCTACATACAGTAGCTACATCTTCCCCAGCAACGGCCGAAACAGTAGGCGAACAGCCTGCAGACCTTCGTCCACATGCTACCTCCAGTAGCTGTCTTCTCCGCAACAGCTCTCACAAATGACAAGACAATCATCGTCCCTTGAACCCTATCCGTCCGCAGTCCTCCAGCCCATCGCATCTCTTACGACTGACCTGACCTGATCCGACAGCCTGACGTCTAGAACATGCCGTGCACATCATCCCGGACCTCGTCCTTGACAAACGGCTCCACGCCTGACATCATGTCCAAGTCTTCCTCTTTCTCCACCTTCAAGACTGTCCCCTCAAACACCGCGTCCGTATCCTCTTCCTTCTCCACCTTGACGACTGTGTCTTGATACACTGCGTCCATGGTCTCCTCTTTCTCCGCCTTGAAGATTGTCCCTTGATGCTCTTCCTTCTGTCTCTTATCTTTTTGGCCGGATTTGTGGGGCTTGGCTTTCCTCTGATGGGGAACGGTGGCTCGGGCCTTGCGTGGAGCCGATGGGACACCCTCCATCTGCTGTTTGAAGCGAGAGTAACGCATACGGGCGGCGTGGCCTTTGGCAATGTCTAGCTGATCGGCGACTTGCTGCCAGTCGATCTAAGAAGCTGAGTGAGTATAGTGTTCATAGTGTTATTGCGAAGAACAGCGTACCGATTTGAGATCTAGTTGTTTCATGATGACATAGAGGAATTTCGAGATAGCGCCATCAGTTGGCATAGTGCGGCTTCTTTTCAGGCTTGCCATCTTGAGATTTGACTCCGAAGAGTGTTCGAGAAGAATAAGAATGAGTGTGAAGATATGATAAATAGCCTTATTCTGCTGGAGTGAAGGTCACTAACAAGTAGCGCGTGGTATGGTTATGATAGGGGAGGTGTGTTGAAGAATATCGATGAGAGTGAGACGGAGTGATGGCATCTAGAAATAAGTAAATCTACTGAACGCTGACGTGGGTACGCATACATTAGCAATTAGAAAATTTGCTGTCGCGAAGCGACATCACAGACGCTCCTTGTCTCGCTGTCTTCAAAGCCTGAGGCTTTGTCCGTCGGCTTCCTGCATCAAACGAAGATTCCTGCAGATTCTTAACTTAATGCTCGGAAGGTGAGGCGCGTAGAAGAGTGGTCAGCATGAAGAGGGCTAGGCTACTGAGAATAAAGGAAAGAAGAGGGCATAGTTCTATAGAACAATGATGACCTCGGGTAGCTTGTCCGTTCTCGCAAGAAAGATGATAACGGAATGGGCGACCAAAATGGTTTGGGTTGGAGATCTCGATCAGGGCTTTGGTAATCAGCAAGCAGGATAGAGGAAACGAGGAGAGCGGTCACGTACCTTGAGTATGCGGAGAGACACGCAAGATGGTCATGGCGGTTGAAATTGGGACAGGAGATCTCAATATACTCGGTGACCTGCACAGTGATTGATACAAGTTGGGTTGTGTTGAGGATGTCCCTTTCAGACATGAAGTGCAAGGTTCGTCTCTCCGGTACCTCTCAGAATTGATAGATCAGGCTGCAGCTTGGGATTTCGGCATGGAGGATAAGGAGGTAGGTGAATACCGAGCCGCAAATGAACACTTATGATGAGACGGTAGTCGATAGGTTTCGATGGAACAGAAACGAACACCAACAATGAGACGGTGGTCGACAGGATTTCATCGAAAAACAGTGATTGTTTCGGGTTGCATTGCTATAGCACCGTAGACAGTAGTTGTGAGTGTGTAAGTGGAAAGCCGGTGCTGCTCTGCCCCACAAGAGACTTCCATGGAGCTCAACCGGATAAACTTTCGGCCCGGGGAGTAAACACTGACAAAAGTTCGCACAACGGGACTGGAAAACATCCCCCGACAACAACAACAACTTGCATGAACAGCAGGACAGTGGAAATCGCCGCAAAAGCTTCAGACCGTATCAAGATTTGTAGCTATGCCTCCAACTGGGCATCCCACGGTGTGTATTGACCCGAACTGGGCCCTTGGTTTGAGTCCACCTCAATATGAGCTGACAGCGCTCTATTCACAGACTGGTGGGCTTCGCTTATCGAGTGATAACCGACCTTCGCACAAGCGTTTGTTTGACTATGAAGAGCAATCTGTTGAACACCGCTGATCCACCGTTAGCAAACGTACACATCATTGACGACCGCACGCGTGTGATCTTCGGTGTCGATCCACGTGCAGCTGCAACTCGGTCTTCCGTCAAGTTGGCCGAACAAAAAAAGAAAAACTTGTTCCCACCAGCGGATTTGTTGCACCTCACTAGCAGTGACACCTTTGATGCTGATGAGCAGCTAGAGTCCGTAAGCATTTCATCCACGCATATTGACAACTACGATGGAGCATCACCTCTGACACCTGTATACAGCCAGCCTCCGCGAGAAATTCAAACATAGCTTCCATGGGGGACACAGAAAATCTGGACCTACTCGCGTGTGTGGCCCTGGCTACTCATTCGAAGAAGAGGCAGCAGCCAGCTCATGGAGCGCCATCCAAAGAAGCTGTCACAGCCGACAGCCTACCACCAGCTGAGCAGCAGCCAAGTCACACAGAATATTCGACGGCATACTTTGACGCCTACTACGATGCTTCACCCCAAGAGACGACTGAGACAGATTTCCTATCACGTGATGAGCAGCAGCCTGTCCATGTTCCATCGTCTTTTGAGGCAGCCAACTCAACACCACCAGCTGAGAAGCGAGCCAGCTATGAATCAACGGAATGGGGAGTAGCTGATGAGGACACGCAAGGTGCACATACCATCTCCAACGCCTCCACACCCACACAGCAGGAGCCGGTTCGAGGAGCATTGAATCAAGACTTCACCGCAATCAATCCCCGAGCGACAAATGGAGGGCTCTCTCGCATTAATCCTCGGCCACTCCCTGGCTACATGCCAGCCGCCATAGGGCCAAGTGGCGGCCGTCAGCCAATCATAAAGAAGTCGCGAAAATGCAAACCCCGCACCACGGGCTTCAATAGAAAGACCGGCGAGGGTATGCTGACCGACGTGTGCAACATAGCGACACCTGCGAAAGGGACGCCAGTGGCACATACCAACAAGGACGGAAGGTACCGCTGCGCACGATGCAAGGGCCGTTTCACTAGGACAAGGACTGTCAAGGATCACTTCATCACGTGTGTCAACAAGTATGGGAATCCGAATAAATTAAGCTGGTATGATCATCCAACCCTCGCAAAGTCCAAGGACTGGCATCTTGGAAGCCTGGCGATGGCGAAGGAGGCGGAGGACGGGACTGAGTGGGAAGAAGATGAAGAGGGGCTGGAGGATGAGGATGGTGACGAGCAGGAGCAAGATCAAGAGGGAGATGACGATTTCCCTGAGCAGCATGTGGACGATAGTATCGCTCCGGCAATTGAGTCTGATACTGCCGCTGATGAAGAAGATGAAGACGGAGATTCTCATATGGGGAATGAGGACCAAGGCAGAGATGGCAATATCTCCGCGTAAGTCTTACCCTGTCGAATGCTAGACCGTTCGGATTCTGACAACTCTTAGGGCATCGACTCCATACTATACACCTAATGAAGGATCTTCACTCTCTGCCTCCATTCAAGGGTCTCGATTCCATACACCTCAGGAAGGGTCTGACACTCCCGGCTATGGGCCTGACGGCTATCGAACTCCGGTACCTAGCAATATCAGAGGGTGGAGCGCAACTCCTCGCTACGAAGGAGGGTCATACACTCCCAGCTTTGGACGCGGCTACGAGACTCCAGTCCAGAATTTCGGTTACGATTCCGACCTGTCTAGGGATACGGATATTATCCGTAGACGCGAGACCGAAGGGTACGGTGACGAGACGCCGACTCCTGGCTATGATGAAGAAGGAGACTTTATCATGGCTGAATTCTAGATGGAATCAAAAAGCGATGGATGTCGAGGCGATGTTTCGATACTTGACACGGAGAAACAAGAGACTGTAATGAGGCGACGTGGTTGAGTCTTTCTCCGCGCTCTAGCGTATTTCTTTAGTGTGTGCTTGGCAGACTTTTTTTTCTCGATCGCAGGCCTTGCGCCCAGCCTTCTTTCCCTTACAAACTCGCTCTGGTCTAGCGTTTTTTCCTTTGTAAATCTTCACTCACTATCGTGTACATTACTGCAGACTCTGTTCTCTATGCCCTTCAGACATGGACAGGACATCTGAGTAGCTAGAAGAGACCATCATGCGCGGTGCAAATTCATAGAAAATCTTCAATGATCGTTGTCCGTTCATCCCACTACATTAACATTAGAACCTGAATCAGAGCTGCAAGCTCCTATCTGATCAACAATCATTCGCTATACTCCATGCCTTCCGACGCTACCAATAGAAAGATCTCATGGCCGTATTATCCTCCTCTGTGGCTCTAATTATCGATGTCCTACACCTCATCTGTCAACATATATACAATACCAACAGACAACAAGACGTTGCCGGACTTATCTCATGTCCCCTACCAGTAATGCAGCAGCTACACCATGACTCTATCGCTTCGTCAAGTTGGACTTCTCCACCTCCCACGCTCCCTCTGCTTTCAGCTTTCGTAATGGCAATGACATCTCCCACCACGCTCTTGTGCAAGATCTTGCTGTTCTTGGCCTTGACCCATATAGTTCTCGTCCTAGGCTCGCAGAGCTCACAGAATCCATATGCTCTATGCCCAATCTCCGGCGGTTCAGCAACGCAACCGCCACCGCAGTCCGCCTCTTTGCTGGTTGACAACTCGCGTAGTTGGAGATCTGGAGCTCAATCCCGACCAGCTTGAGGCGCATTGTCCAATCCCACCCGACCGAGTGTGAAAGACGTCGTGTCCGAGTCGAACGGGCTAATTACCGAATCATACCCCGAAACTATACCCCTAATTACTGAATCATACCCCTACATCAAAATTTGGGGTATGATTCGGTAATTTTATCAAACTTGCTATGTAGACTATTAGGAGTGAAGACTGTGTGTGAGAGTTACAGACTGGGTGTAGACAGGCTGGGGGGCCAAATTTAGCTTACTTTTAGCAGCAGCCCTTAAGGGGGCCCTGCGACGGCCCTACGGGGGCTCTATTTAGGTTTAAATAGGGGTGTCTGGCTGTTAAGCGCAGACACCCCCGGGATCAGGCTTTTTTGCGCTTGACAGCTAGACACCCCTATTTGAACCTAAATAAGGCCCCCGTAGGGCCGTTGTAGGCCCCGTGTGCTAAGACCTACTCGACTTTCGTTTAATGTATTTAAGTTAGTAAATCATCCATTAAATACGGTCGAAGATATTTTCTCTTCTCTATAGTCGGATGGCCCAGGTCGCGAATTTTTCCTTTGCGATTTTTATCATGAATGGCAAATTATCGAATCATACCCAATAATGGTAATTACTGAATTATACCCCTAGGGGTATGATTCAGTAATTAGGGGTATGACTCGGTAAGGATTTATAGTTTCGGGGTATGAATTAGTAATTAGCCTGAGTCGAACTGTGTGGGGAATGAGTGCGGCCCTCTCGAGCTCAAGCCTGGTCAAGCAAGATCTGACCTGGCGCAATGCCGCCATGGCTGGGATAGTTTTCTACGCATCAAGAGTGTATTCGACAAAGTACCTACAACTGAGGACATGTGCTTCTCCCGCTACACATTTCTACCGAGACCAGCGTCTTTGGATGGCATCAGACGTTCTACCCTGACAAGTCTCCAACTCAACCGATGCAAAGATTTAGACTCTCTATTCGACAGTCTACTCGACAGCGTCTCGAGCCTGAAGCTCAAAACCTGCACAGTTGGACCTGAACAATTGATACATCCAGGTTCTTCGACGCCTCCGGTGGAGACAAGCTTGAGACTTTCCTAACGACCTACATAGGCCTCGAAGAGATCGTGTTCTCCAATCTTGGTCCGGGTGAACTGTGCATGCGAACAATCTCTGCTTAAAGTGCCACACTCAAATCACTGGAGCCTGGTCTCTACGGTAGCAGTAGAACTTATGTCCCATGAACAGTGTCAGATTCGGAGATCAATGGTACGAGAAAGGAACACATGCAGGACGTGGAGAACGTCGCAGATATTCGCAGCGCAAGTCCCAAGCTGTGTCATTTAGTTATTGACCAAGTTTGCATTAACTTGGGCGTCACGGTTACATGACTTCGATGCCTAGCATAAGACGACCAGCAACGAAAATGTGCTCCTTGTCGAAATCTACCCGCACGCATACAGAACGCTGTCTGAGAGTCAGGAAATGAATTCCATGTCGCAATAAAGTTCCCAGCCTCCTCCCAGCCACCTGTTACCGGAACAACCACCTAATTTGTGAGGGGTACAGATACTGGCCCAGGGGAGTCTTGAGATGGAATAATTTATGCAATCTACACACCACTCATTCTACCATACCTGATATTTTGACATTCCAAATACTAGTTGCTGCTCGGTAAGGTAAAGGGATCGAAAGGCTACCCTGTAGGAGGGTAGAGCTACTTTTTACCAGGTGGCGATCAATCTTCCTCGTCGAGATCCGCATAGTTCCAACACTTAGGGGCATGCACCGGGATGGCGTATGCAGGTCACTTTCGATCCTGCTCAAGCTCAAACGTTCAGCTCTTATACCATCAGTGACAATCTATAGTTGCTTTCTGTGGGTTTTCACGCTATACAACACATCAGGACAAGCCACGCAATCAATCATTGGCCCTGCAACGCATCATAGCCTCCTTCGCGCTCTCTCCTCGATACTGCGCCTCGTTGAAGGATGAAGACGCCCTACTTTAGAGTGAAGACTAATTCAACTTCCCCACCTAACTGTGCCGCTTGTGCGTAATTTGTGTCGCTCGCAACTTATCTCGGTAAAAGGAACGGGACGTCAACGCTAGATTGTGCGACACAACCCGCACTCACCGAGGCTTCGAGTCAGTCACTGAGCAGGACCTTGCCATGCTCCTTCCGGTAGAGACAGAGCGTCCGCTGATTCAATGATGTGGTATACCTTTCACTGCTATTTTTGGAAGAGCCACAGTAGTATCGGTGTTGGAAACAATTGGCTCCAATCCTTCTGATCCTTCGTTCAAAGCTTTGATCACGTGACCAATTGATGCGTTCAATCTAACGCAACGAGCCTGAAATAAGGTCCGCCAATTCATGCAGGTGCGATGGGCCAAGGCAAATTTGGACAGGCTTGCGGCACGACCCAAGGCGTTTCAATGAAGATCTCCCTCTGAGCGAGGTGTGGCAGATTCTCCGCCATCTGAGTAGTAAAACACTTCTGCTCCGCTGTTTTTCAGGCTGTTGTCCTTCAACCACTTGTCAGGGAAACGCTGCCATGGTGAGCAATCCAGTGGGAGATCAGGTTGTTCGTACAAGTATCTCGTTTGGTGTCATCGATACCTTCGCTGTTGCTCTGCGCCTTCTCGCGCGATCGAGAAGCAATGCTGCCTTTGCTGCCGATGATGCTCTCACCGTTGCCAGTCTCATCCCTCTGTATGCCATGATTGTCATTGGCCACTTTGGTCAGTTTGATGTTCTAGATGCTCTCCGGTCTTCTTGCTGACCTGAACAGGTGTCGAAGCGGGAGGGTTAGGATTGTCCACAGCGGTAAACCTCGAGCTAGGGCATGGACCGTCTCGAATCTCAACGTTTCTGAAACTGATGATGTCAGGCATCGTAACGGTGTGTTCTTAGACAAGTATTCCCATCAGATTCCAGACGCTGACAACCTCAATTTAGTATACGCTCACGATAACCATAGTCAAGCTTTCCATCCTGGTCCTTTATCGTCGAATCTTCATCACCGCCGGATTCAAGAGGAGTACCCTCATCGTAGGGGCTGCAGTCATGCTTTGGTTCATTGTTGCTCTCTTCACGGATTTGTTCCAATGCCGACCTTTTCAAGCAGCCTTTGACCCCGAGCTCCTCTTCACCGATCAATGCATCAACCTGCAAGCCTATTACTGGGGAGTCACCGCTTCCAACCTCTGTCTTGATGTTGTAATGCTATACATGCCTTTACATATGGTGTGGGGATTGAAACTTCCTACGCGACAGAAAATTGCATTGTCAGGCGTCTTCCTACTTGGCGGAATGTGGGCTACTTCTCTCTTCCCGACACGAGACTCTGTATTGACCAATAGACTACAGTGTCTGCGTAGCCGGTGCTATGCGTATTGCCACAATCGGAATCTTGCAGAAAGAGGACTTGACCTGTAACACAACCCACTCTTCCTCTTTCCAGCTAAACCTAAGCGATTTTCAGATACCATGGCCCAAGAGTACACATGGACACAGGTTGAGCCAGCACTGGCTATTCTCTGCTCTTGCCTCGTAACATTTCGCCCACTCTTCGTCAATCTCAACCTTAACTTTTCTAGATATTCAAGCCGCTTCAGCCGCAGCAAGAGCCTGTCATCATCGAAAGCCACAAACTCCACCGACATGAGTAAAGAACGGCGTTCGCATTCCCAGTGGCCTGTTATACAAGACTCCGGCCGTATTAAAAGCACAAGGCTTAGCGGCAAAGGGATGTCCACGACAGGGTGGCCTGCATATCGTCAACATCGATCTCGGGACCAAAGACCGAAAGGATCCGTACACGCAGATCTCGAACTCTTGGAGCAGGGGTGGTGAGGCTACTCCAATTCAGCAACTACATAGCAAGTCGAAGCACAAGTATTCACCATCGTCCATGACAGAAGGCCAGGCGGTTGTTGCCGACCATTTCTGATCAAAACAAGTCGGGTACACATTGATGACCAAGTCCTCGTATCTGGTGGCAGGATCATATTGGGACGGGGGCAGAGCTTCCACCCGCCTAGGATGGATCAAGGCAAACGTAGGGTGCTTATTGGTCTATCCCTTTTTTACATTCCTTCATACATCGGGCATTCTACAGTACGTGAAGCTGATTGATGCTGGTATATTTAACCTGATTATATACTCTACCTGACCTTCGTTTTTCCATCCCTATTTTTCCGCATGCGCATCCTTCTTCCACGTCCACTGTTTCGATATCGTGACCCGAGTCTCGCTACAAAGTTTGCTCTAGAAGCAAAGCGAAATCTCGTGCGGACGAAGCAAGGTCTTGATCCATACGTAGATTATCACCGACATAGTCTCATATCTTCACACAGTACGCAAATCAGCAGCGCTTTATCACGTAGACCAGGAGGCCTGGCACCAACGCAGCCCCACCAACGACTGGACCACGTACTACGCGAAAGCGGTCCCATCCTCCGGAACCAGCAAGCCAATCTTCCCGATACTCCCCCCTGCCTCAATAATCTCGTGCGCCTTCCTCAACCCCGGCACATCCATCCGCAGCGTCTGCCGCAACGTGCACTTGACCGTGCCCTCATCCACCAGCTCCTTCAACTGCTTCAGTATCCTCCCATGACTTTCCGCGTCGACGCCGTAGTACGGCTTCGTGCCCAACAGCGCCCACACGAAGGTCAGACTCTTCGCCATGAACTCGGTGCCGTACATGGGGATCTTGCCCTGCACGATACTGCACACCTTGCCGAAGGGGGCGGCGACCGCGGCGCAGGTGGCGAGGTAGGTGTCCGTGCTGTGGGTGATGAAGATGTATTTGAGCCGAACGTCGAGGTTCAGGTCGTCGATTTGCGGTTTCAGGTCTTGGCGGTGGTTGACGATGTGGGTGGCGCCCATTTCTTTGCTGAAGGATTGCGTTTCGGGGCGGGAGGCGGTGGTGGTGACGACGGGGAGGTTGAGGACGTGCCGGGCGATTTGGGAGGCCATGGAGCCGACGCCTGGAATGGGAGGAGAAGAAAGCCATCAACAAGATGAGAAGAAAAAAGGGGGGGGGGGCGGGGACTGGTGAGAAAGCGGGAACCCACCTCCTGCACCGTTTATAATCAGCAGCGCCGCCTCCTCCCCTTTCCGAATCTCAAGCCTACCCACCATCAGCCAGGTCGCACAAGCCCGCCAAAATCAAAGAAGAAGGACGCAACAACCCACCGCTCAACCAACGCCTCCCAAGCCGTGATCCACGTCAACGGCATACTGGCCGCCTGCGCCCACCCCAACCGCTCCGGCTTCGCCGCCACGCTCCTCGAATCCACGAGCTCCCACTCGGCATCGCTCCCCTGCCGGACCGGGCTGCCGGAGAAGAAGACCGCGTCGCCGGGCGCGAGAGCCCGGACGTCGGGGCCGACGGCCTCGACGAGGCCGGCGCCGTCGAAGCCGCAGATTTGGTCCGGGCGGGGGACGCGGGTGTAGTAGTCTGGGGGGTGGTTGGACGGGTTAGTTTGGAGGAGAGGAAGGGGGGATGGGGGGGGGGGATGGATGGATGGATGGGTGGATGGGGAGAGAGTAGGATAGAATAGATGGTTGAAGGGAAAGGAAACGAAACCTGGATAATCGTCATAGGTCCCGGCGCGGACTTTGATATCAACCGGGTTCACAGAGGCGGCTTTGATACTGGAGCGGAGGTTGCACCATCAGCGATCTGTACGTCGTAGGTAATTCTCCCTTCCTTCCCTCCTTCCCTCCTTCCTTCCTTCCTTCATTCCTTCATTCATCCAACCAATCAATCAAACCCCGTTTCCCACAAACCACGCAGGCTGGACAACGTGCCTACATCCTCAACCAAGATAGATAGAACGGAGACGAGGCACGCACCGAACCAAAACATCGTACCCCCCCGGCGCCCCCGGCTTCGGCACCGCCTTGGCGACGAGTTTATCAGGCCCGCCCCGGTTGGCGTGCGCGACTGCTATGGCTTTCATGGTCGGTTGGGTTTCTGCTTCTGCCATGCTGTTTTACATACATACATACATACATACATATATATGCTAATTAAATCAACTCTGTTGTACGGAAGAGAGGAGAATAATGTCCGCGGTCGGATAGTGACGTAGGCGCATGACGTCAGTTTTCATTACGATATTGCTGGTTTTATGAAATGGTACTTTGATTATTTGACTTTTACGTCGGGTGTGGGTGTGTTGTATTCGATCTGGGTTGATGGATTTAGGTAGTAGGAGGTTTGTAGCGTGGTGGGTTATATCTGCGGAACTGACCTGAGGTGAGGGTTTGAGCAAACACTGCATAAGTTGTGGTGTGCAGCGACAACAACAACAACGAAGAATTCATGCATGCATGCGTTTCCTCCTTACTACAAAAACATGCAACTCCGTAATCTTCTCCAGCTTTCTAGAAAATTGAATCGATGGACTCTTTTTCCACTCACGCAGCGGTCTTTTCGTCGACGCCGTTAGCCTAGAGGTGGGGTGTAGAGAAGGTTGGGAATAGTGGCTTGAGGAGGTGGGAAAGGCTCGATGGAATGGAATTGAGTTGTACAGAGTAATTGCACAAGAGCGTACATATTTGCAGTCCTGCGAAACCAGGCACAGGGATGGAGGGGAATGGGTATACCGAGCAGCTGCACACGCCAGCATAGTATTACACCAGGAATCCAAATCTCCTCCCTTCAGTCAAGTCGCATCTACACAGTCACCTTGGCCAACTCCTCAAAAGGCCTCATACCGAACATATGCTTCCCACCCATCGCACTCCTGGAAATGCCCTCTTGGGCATTCTGTCTCATGAATTCCTCATACCTCCCGACGGCCTCCTTGGTGATGCCCTCATCCCTCAGCACCTCCGCCAACATCGCCGCATCCCTCAGGGCACACGTAGCGCCAATGCCGGCAGTGGGCGACATGACGTGCGCTGCGTCTCCGATGAGCGTGATGCGGCTCGAGGGTTCCCAAATGGGAATGTTGGGGGAAGCGGAGATGATGCGGAGAAGGGACGTTTGCGCCGAGTCTTGTTGGTCTAAGAGGGCGTGAAAGGAAGGGTGCCAGTGGGACGTCAGTTTTTTTGCTAGCTCTGCTGATTCGTTGTTAGTAAGGCCTAGCAGCTCTGCATCGGTCATGCCATGGACGCCTTTTCTGGCGAGCAGGACCCAGTAGACGTAATCTTTGGGCAGCTCTTTCCGAAATTCGTTATCTTTGAAGCGCACAGGCTCCAGGAGGAGAGTGACTGGCACATCGCCTGTGCGATCCTGGATGACTGCCATACCCTTCAAACACCTCTCATTGAACTTCTCTTCCAGCTCAGGCGTGAGGGTCGATTTGCCGTAGAAGAATCTGCCTTCCGTATCCATGAGGCTAAGCTGAGGGACAAACTGCTTTCGAACTCTCGAGCTTGCACCGTCGGCACCGACCAGCAGAGAACCTTGTGCTTCACTGGCGTCGCTGAAATGAAGAACCACACCAGATGGCGTGATCTCATACGCAGAGAACTCTTTGCCGAATTCGACATGTTCTTCAAGGCCGCGCATTAACACACTCCTCAAGACCATTCGATCCGCATTCAACGGCTCAGGGCTCCCCTCGGGCTTCTGCCCCATGCTCATGCCAGGCCCACTCTTGCCAGGCCCACCTGGTCCGGGCTGCCCACCCATACCAGGCGGCCCTGCTTTGCCAAAGAAGCTTTCCAATTCCTCGGCACTCAATGCGTTAAGCCTTGCACTCGGGCCACTGCCCCCGAGAGCGTTAGTCGCGCAACTAGCCTCAAGACGCTGGTACAGCTTAGATGAGAGAACGGACTGCAGGGCTTCTATCCCAGGGCCGATGATACGGACGCGGTAACCCTGGGCACGGAGATTGAAGTGGGTGTCGCGTTCGTAGATACGGAAGGGAATGTTGGATTTGAGGAGACCTTGAGCCAGAGCTAGACCGGAGATGCCGGCACCGAGGATGAGGATTGGTTGTTGTGTTGTTATTGGAGTCATGGTGTGGATTGCAGGCTGAGGATGAGACTAAGAGGTAGGATGTAATTGTTCCGAGGGTTGCGATTTGAGCTGGTGAGGGATCCGGAGACGAGCTTTTTGATGGATAGAGGACATCAGGTTGGTGATTTGACACGCTCTTATAGTCTCAACTTTCATAGTACCTGGGCACCCAGGGCACTATTAAAGTAAGATAGTCGCGTTCGCCTATTTTTGGTTCGGACTTCGGACTAGAAGCGGTACGCGACGGGTGCCTGAACCTCCGCATCAGCAATAAAGTACCGATTGCGTACCTTACATACAATATTGTGTTGGTTCTCACGTTCTGCGGTCCCTCTCAATGAAAAGGAGTAATTGTTGATGGTGATTCCCGTCGAGTTGCCCTTTTGTGTTCCCAGACATACAACAAGATGGCAAGGTTTAGGCGAGGCCCATGGTACAGGGTACCGTGATAAGCACCTGAACGATTGCAAATTGCTTGACAATTTGTCTGCTTCCTTGGTTGTTACCCTCTTGCAATGCTTGTTTGGTGTTCGTGTGAAATTGGACGGCTGTACACAGGGAAGAGATTTTGATCTTTTTCCAAAAGTATGTATCCTCTCAACTGGTGCCGTTGTTTCAGTCATCCTTTGACGAATCGACACTAACCCTGGGATAGTAGATTGCTTGTTCCCATACTTCAATGGCGCAATGCCATCTAGGACAACATAGTTTCAGATACTCAAGTGCTCATTTCGTGATTGCTACAGTACTCAAGGCACCATTGCGCAAAACCCAGTCTGCCGGTTATCACCCTTTCAATGCATAGTGGGGAATACCGCAGCAATCAGATTCTGTTAAACCAGTTACACCATCTGAGCGCTCGGTCATCAGTCTTGATATCCATGCATGAGAGTTTCGACCACACAGCTCGCTTTTGGGCATGCTGAGCTCGTGCCAGAGATAGCGAAACCATTAATTTCCTGCCTCATGATTGTCAAGACTTCCCTACTAGCCTCTTCAACTTCAATTCTCAAAAACTTCCCGCGCGTTCCGAGTACTCTCGGTACGTCCTGGTCACTGCACCCCCGTCGGCACTGATCTTGAAACCCTGAAAGCGCACATTCTTTCCAACAAGCGCATTAGATATCGTGCTTTCGAACTTGGTACAAGTCGCGTCTGTGAATTGCAGGTAGCCGGCATTTTTCTTATAGCCATCGTGTGCAACGTCACCATCACCTTGCTCACGACCACGCCATTTAAAGTAGAGTCGGTTGGATGAAGTACTAAGCGATAGCCTGGGACGTTTTGCAGAAGTGCCCAGTGCTTTTTCAGGTACACTCCGTTTCCTGCGTATCACGGCTCCAAACACAGGTGGCATAGGCTCATGCTCCTCGTCCTTCTCGTCCGCGCTTAGGTCGCTGAATAAGTCCTCTTCCTCACTGGCATCATCTTCTTCTTCAGTTGTCTCAAGCTCTTCCAGTGAAAGGTCCATTCCTGGACCATCATCCAGGCGAGATTCGTTCTTCTCCGTCGCCTTGCACCTGGCAAGGAGAGCTTTTCGATCGGTGTCCAATCTCATTACGCCATAGATGACGCCAATCTCGAAGATGCCAACCCAACCATCGGTCTTGCTGTAGGTGATCCTAAGACTCGAGTCATCGGGGTTTGAGCTGTGGTAGTTGTCCATGACCCCCCTGCATTCAATCGCATAACTCCCCTGGGCCGACTCGATAGCAAATATTCTTGGCTTGGACGACACGGGCAGCATTCTGATCAGGTTGTAATGTTTTCGCAACCGTCTTTGCCATTCTGGACTCGGTTCGTCTCGCAGTCTCGCTTGGTCTGCTGAGATCCTCTCTGTCTCTTCAAAGATGGCTGCTCTAATCCAGCCGATCACCAGAACCCGGAAGTCACCTTCTCCGCCAATCGACGTCTTCAATCCAGGTATGGTATCGGCTGCTTGTTGGACTGCTAGCATGTCCGAAAGGCCAGGTAGCAGAACAGGGAATGGCGTTTTCAATGGATCTGGTTTCCCGTCCTGATCGAGAAAATACTTTGCAACAAATAGACTGCGATCGTAGTCTGCCAAATCGACGGGTATCTTGAACCTTTCGAGGGACTGTTTGTGCTTGTCTTCTAAGCGTAAGCCCCTTGGTCGCTGTGTCCCTATCTTCTGAGGTGGCTTTTCTGTCTTGTATTGGAATTCGGCATGTTCGAGATTTGCCGCCCTGAAGAGCTGTTCGAGCTTTGACGCTATAGCACGAACTCGGGAGGGGAGTTTGTAGCACTGCATCACTGTTGTTATCAAGTGCACAGGCATCGTGGTCAAAGGCTGCTTACTCTGCCGTGCTTGACACTGTGCGCAAGCAGTAATGTAAGTTCCGCTACAGTGTCTTTAGGTTCAAATTCGATGTCATAAAATGTCAAATGTGCTACGAGCCAGGGAAAAGTTATGGTCATCTCCGCTCTGTCGCGGGCCCGCTTCTGGGCTCGTTTGCCGCTTTTTTGCGCTTGTTTTTGCGCTTGACAGCCAGACACCCCTATTTAGACCTAAATAGGGCCCCCGTGGGAGCTGCTGCTAACACCCACTCGGCTTTCGTCTGATATTTTTGGGGCTTACAGCTCGGCAGGGGTGAAAAAAAGTTCGGCAGGGGTGAGTAGATGCTAAGTATATGCACCTCGTCCGGGGTGAAAGGGATACACTCAGCATATGCCAGCACCTCATCGGGGGTGAAGAAAATTAAATTCAGTCCAGCGACGTTAGCCCGCGCGGGGTACGAGTAACTCACCCACAAATTTGAAATTTTCTCTTTTATCTGTCGCAAATTCTCACTCTCACTCCGGCCTTGATGGTTCCGGAACCCATTACGCGCTTTACTTCCAGTACAGTTTTATCATATAATTAGTAGATCACGGAGGTCTTCGCGGCGGGGGACGTGCAGGACAGGCGGTTGAGGCATATGCCTAGTATATGCCTCTACCCCCTCTAAAGTGCCAACATTATTTTGGACCCGGCCCGAGTTCATCCGGGGTGAAACGGATACGTTCAGCATATGCTATGAGTTCATTCGGGGTGAAGTGAGCATATGCCGAAGCTTCACCCCTGCCGAACTTTTTTTCACCCCTGCCGAGCTGTAACCCGATATTGAAGCTGGTAGGTCACCCATTAATACGATCGGAGATGTTTTCTCTTTTCTATGGTCGGATGGCCCAGGTCGCGAATTTTCTCCTTTGCGATTTTTATCATGAATGGCAAATTACCGAATCATACCCCAAGTAATGGCAAATTACTGAATCATACCCCTAGGGGTATGATTCGGTAAGGATTCATAGTTTCGGGGTATGAATTAGTAATTAGCCCGGTATGAATTTGTAAGAATCCCATAGTTTGGGGTATGAATTTGTAATTTGCCGAGCCAGGGAAAAGTTATGGTCATCTCCGCTCTGTCGCGGGCCCGCTTCTGGGCTCGTTTGCCATTGATTTCGTCCGGGAACAGCATCTCGTGAAGACTAGGCCCCCCCATTCGTGGGATTCCGTTGACACTGAAGCCATCAACATCATATGAGAAGGGTCCGTTGCTGAAAGGCGTGGTAAGTGGTCTTTCCAGTCCATATGTCAGTCGATATTGGGGCATTCTTGAACTCACTTTAACATGCGTTGGTCAAGATGGTTTTCTGGTCTGCAATCCTGCATAGTCTAGCTTCTTGTGTGACAGCTTGACCTGATCATCGAGAAAATTGGTAGGAGAAGGAGCAGAGAGGAACAGCGGAAATGCCAAGACTTGATGCTTAGTCATTGTACTACCGTACCCCTGATTGCATAATCCTTGAGAAAGAAAAAAAAATTCCCATAGTTCTGGCACACCTCAAAATCAAAAATCAAAATCTCAATTATTCTTATATAGATTCACAACCACAACACCTAAGTATTTATTATTAAAGTATCTAAAAAATTTAATTTATATAACATAAGTAAAATAATAAAATATTAATTTGACATTGTCGAGGGTGCGCCGAAAAATTATGTTAAGGTTTTTTTTATTTTACCTCGGCTATTCTAAAGCTATTAAGAGTACTTCGTAAAAGTCGCGATTATTCTATTTTACAATATAACGAATAATTTAAATCTTTTAAGAATTTTATAATCTAATCTATACTCTATTTATTAAATTTTAATAATTTTTCAGATTATAATTAATTGTGGTTGTGAACCTATACAGAAAAATTGAAATTTTTGATTTTTGATTTTGGGGTGTGCCAGAACTGTGGGAATTTTTTTTTCTTTCTCAAGGATTATGCAATCAGGGGTAATGTAATTTTCATTCCTTACTCTAGCGGCTAAAGCTGTAATCAAAACGAATACATCAGTGACTGACTAGCCTGTTCCCCAGTAATTTTCCATAGTCTTTTTCAACGCCGCAATCATGACTGACTTCCGCATCACAGGCGTGTAAGTCTTGATATCCAGCACGTTCAAGCCTGCCTTTCCACAAGGGTATGCCACTGATCAACGTTCCGCTCCAATGCGCCATGCATAGTATACATCTGCAGATCCACTCTGGCCACCCACCAGTGTACGCCTGTGTATGGCAGTGCCATGTCATTAATCAGAACCCGGGAGTCCGCTTCCATAGCGGGAATGAGATCTTTGAGGATCTCCACTGCCTTTTCATCCGGCCAGTCGTGCAGGATTCTTCCAAGGTAGTAGATTGCGGCTCCTTCCCAAGAATGAGCCTAACTTCTTTGGTAGGGACTTAGGGTATGAACATACCTGTGACTGGTTGTGAATTGAAGAAGTTGTGGACCATGAACTCCACGCCCTCACGCGGAAGGCTCATCAGCCGCTGGAACGTCCTGAATTCTTCAGGGACTGCTTCGCCCAGGGAAAGACTTCGAGATCTGAAATCATGGCTTTTTGCAAGGCTAGTTTATTACCTTCCGGGTGATTCTAATACTTTGTTTCTTGAAGAAAATCAGGGAGGTACCTGGAAGGACGGCAACGGAAGTGTTTTTTCTGCGCTCCCAAGTAAGATTTCTATCCTATCGAAAAAGAACGCGACTCACACATAGGGTACACTACCCTTAATGCTCGGATCTGTCAAGGCCCTGGTGGTATTTTTGGAATAGTCTTTGCTGGTTTCTGTGATAATGCGATTTGCTGCTAAATATCGCATAATCCGGCCTAGGAGCAATGGTTCGGCTCCAGACGTTGCTGCAAGCTTCTCCACACTGAGAGGTTCATCGATCTTTGCAGGTGCTTCGAAAAGCCCGAGATCGCACCCACAGCGAATTACGGAAGACTCACCGGACCAGGTGGTCCAGAGGACGCAAACCTCGGATTGATTCTACATTGCTTGACCCAGATAATTGGTTGGGATTCTTTCTGGAACCCTGAGAGTCCAACGATTGCACTGTTAAACCGGAAGGGCATTAGTGGCGAGTTCGCTCACGGTCACGACTGGTATTGGCGTGGAGAAGAAACATGGAATGAAAGGACCACGTGCCCTACGAGAAATGGAACAAAGACTTAAGAATGCTTCCAGACGAGTTTCCCGTCCATCTATTAAAGATCATACCCATGCCATTCCTAGTAACCAGATCCGCCTGCGCCAGAACAGCCTTCGAAAGTATCTAAGCACACAAGGCAAATGTTTAAAATCGCGCTGTCTCCTCTATTGGCATCTTGCGCTTCGACCTTGACTTCAGCCAAGTGGCCCTGCGCCATCATTCTTCACCTTACGCCCGGCAGCTGGATTCGTCTCGGCCCCAGTGAGAAAGCAGGCGATAGCTATTCAAATTGACGCGGGTTATAACTTCGTTCTTTGGTTGACGGGCAGAAAATACGACACGAACAATTTCCGCCGAGAATACTCTCAAAGCGGGTCGAGAAAATTTCACAAGGTTGCACCCCTTGCCGAGATGTACACTTACCGAAGGAAAGAGCGTGAAGAAGGAAGATACCTGCAATTAGAAAATATGCGCCCGCCTTTCGTTGTTGGGCTGCTAAGTACTTTTTCCAAGATCCTGCTTCTATAATCTCCGCTGGAAATTCTCTTTTCAGTGAACTTATCTGGATGATCGGCACACAAATAAGTATCGCTCATAAGAAGCCAGAGCAACAGAATCGAATATTCTCCTCCAGGGTTGATTCCCTTCCCGCAAGTAGCTATGCCATCAACCATCAGTCTCCGCCCGCCTCCAACCACTGGGCCCCGCCAAGCCGACTTTACACCACCAACCATTGACTGGCTCTCCGGTACATGGCACCTCACCCACTCAACCCTTTCCATGTGGAAAAGCAACCGCAATGTCACAATGAATTACAGTATTGTCCCTGCTCTGAACGCTCAAGACCCGCCCAACAAGCTCGATGATACCACATCTTACCAACCCCTCACTTCCTCCAAATTCAAAACCATTAACGGCGGGGATACGTGTGTATTCAAGGACAAAGGAGGGAAACCAGGAAGCAGTGGTGAGAGACATCGCATTGGGAGTGTTTGGGCTATGGGGATCTTGAGGACATGAGGACCGGTCAAGAGGTTTGGCTAGGGGAGATTCACGAGTGAGGTCTTGAGGAATTAAAGCAGGCCCACTCCGCGGTGAGTAGCCATCCTTCTAACGATGGCAGAAGGCTAGAAGACAGAGAAAGCAGCGCCAAGAAGTATCGTCGGTTTTCCACTGTTTCTTGTACATGTTTCGACTTTCCCGTTCCTTCTCGCGCTCCACTGAATTTGCCGCCATCTTTTCGCGGAATGACATCAATTTCCACCATGGTGTTGAAGTACGCAAAGCGAGGTCCGTTCTTCTCCAATAAGCCATAGTCTGCAATAGCTTCGAGGCAATTCAAAGTAATTAAAATGACGAGGACTACCACAGTCGTTTCGAACACACGTACTAAGTCCTTTACCTTTCACGAGATTGCTGTAAGGCAGAAGCACAAATATCTTCCCTTTCTCCCTTGAGCATGAGAAGCATATTATTCTCAACCGTCACTAGCCTGGAGCTGCCGACTTTCATTAAAATCCATCCCTTTTTCGCCACTGTCTTCCTCCCAGAATCCCTCCTTCATCTTCCTGGTCCATCACCATGCATCTCAGCCTCTACCTCGTTCACACAGCACTCCTAAACTACCGCCGCCGTTGCCAGAGCTTCAGTGATCTCGACCCGAATGAACCACGAGTTGGCGAAACGGCATTTCTGGTGCAACGGAGGTGAGGCGACCAGTCCGAAATAACGCATGTCGCTAAGCGCAGCCAGTGGATTCCAAGAACATCTGCCCTGAAGCCCAGACCATGGTCCCCATCGACGAGTACGCCTGCGACGCCATCTCCAGTGCTGGAAGGATGAGCCAGATATCGCCACCTGTCAACGGCGAGGAGAGTACCACTTGCCAGCAGCAGGCGCCCGCTGAAAAGCTGTCGACTCGACTGGCCGTTCAGGGGAGTTTGGAGTCTAGCCCTATAGTTGGCTCTACTGTACCGATGCATTTGACGTGTACGGAAATTGATGGCGCGACTGGATCTTCCCTTCTGTTGAACTGCACGACGGCAGCTTGATTGAGGATGTGCGGTGGACATGTTTGTATGTAGGGAGATAGAGGTGCCGTGCAACTTTCAGGACTGCCTTCGTTTCTTGGACAGAGATTGTGGGTTATGTCATTGATCAAGAGCATCGTCGAACTTATCTTTGAGAGTGCACGCCTTATAAACATCTTAGCCCTCTCCGCAATTGCTTTATAGGTACAAGTTCTTTGCTTATCCCTCTTGCCCTCTTTACTCTCATCTCATTTCTTCCACATCTCACCAAGAGTACCGGCAGGAGCATCTTGGTCTCTCGGTACTCGGTCTTTATCGAGTGGAGTGTTGTGGAGTAAAGTACTCCATTGAAGAACGCCATGATTTTGTAATGTCCAGAAATTTCGGGATGCTGCGCCGATATTCACATCTGTCAAAGGCTTTGATTCTACGAAGCACAGATCAGAGGTAGGGACACGGTATCTCAATGTAAACAATTGCAGGTCCATTATACATATAACGGCCAAGGCTTATCGGAGAAGATGCGAACATAGCATGCCGATCTTGAGGTGATGTTGGATGATGAGGGTAGTCACCGTCGCTGTGCTCGGATGGAGGGGCCAGCAAGCATTTCGAATATCATTGACGTCCATAGTCATCAATAAAGATAGATGCAAGAACAACGATAGAAAGGCCATGAATAGCTTCCAGCTCCAGGGCAAGCGCAAGGGCACATTCATCAGAGAGCCTGAAGGGAATACGGGGACCAGCGCACGTGACTTATCTCCGCTGAGTCAGCAAAAATGTGTTGTGCTCGAGCCCACCTCCTCTCTACTCAAGGTATTCCACGCCGTCGCGACAATGGACGCACAGCTCGATCGGCTCAGTCTCTTGGCACCAAACCCTTTGAGACAATCTGAACATAGTCTCGGTGTTCTGCCGCTAACTCGCATACATACTAAGGGTGTCCAATGCCTGGGAGGAAAGCACCGAAAGTCGCGTATGCCGTCTTCGTCGGACGCAACCCTGGCGTATACAGCACGTGGTATGATTCGCTTGCACTCTTTCACAGGTCCGATATACTGATCTCGCGCTAGGTCTGAAGCCGAGAAAGAGGTCAAAGGTTTCTCGCGACCCATCCATAGAGGCTATACACTTGAGGAGGGAGGCCGCGCCAGGGCAGAAAGAGAATTTGGGGCATTCGAGGCGAAGACGGCGTTGAGGGAAGAAAAAACAATCGAAAATGTGTGCCATACAATCGAGGAGCCAAAGATAATGCCTAATCAGTCATCGGAGGAACCGGTTCGCGCTTACGTCTCAGGGCACATGCCCCAAGCATCGACGCCTCGCTATTGCGTCGCTCGACAGCTTGAGACCCCTCCCAATACCCTCATTAGGCAGAAAAGGGAGAGGCCGGCTTCCTGGGAATCCGATAACGACTTGCCCAAGGAAGCAATATGTGTGGGCGATGATGGCACACCAGAAGAAGCTGCGAGCCTCAAGTCACAGCATACACACGTTCATATCACATCTTATACAGCACTGTCTGCAAATATATCCTTCTGCGATGCAGATGATTGCACCATTGAGGATAGCAGTTCAGCCGGTGAATCGCACTTAATCCCCGATGACACCAGCTCCGACGACCAAAGTTCTAGTGACGGCAGCACCAGCTCCGATGAGAACCGCTCCTTTGGTAATACTGCAGGGGAAGCTGATGTCAGCGGTCAGGTGCTCCTTGCCACGGACAGTGAAGACGACAGCGGCACCTCTACACTACCATTCGACAACTCTAGCAGTGGAGATGAGAGCGCGGGCCAGGAAACACACCCTCAACTGCCGGTGCCTAAATATGCAGATCTCAACGAAGTAATATCTCATGATCGCAACATCGCCACAGATCAACCAAACGTCGCATTGGACTGTCTCAGCCCAGCTCAAGATTACATTCCATTGGGTACATATTCTGACTATGGCGATAGCCTTGACGATCCGGCCGTGCTGGACCGCATTTCTGCCAACGGCCCAAGGATCGAGCCACGCCTATGCGATGAGCAGCTCGCTCTTGTTCAGCTCATCATGAGCGGCAAAAATGTCTTCTACACGGGCTCGGCAGGCTGCGGCAAGTCAACCGTTTTAAAGCATTTCGTCACTCTGCTCAGAAAAGAAGGGAGAAAGGTTGATATATTAGCTCCCACTGGTAGGGCTGCACTGGAGGTGAATGGCAGGACTTTGCACAATTACGCCGGCTGGATCCCGCGCTCTCTCGGTCAGCCGCTGCGGAACCTAGAGAACAATGCTCGCGGTAAAAAGGTGCGGAAGAGACTCAGGGCGACGGACGTTTTGATCATTGATGAGATCAGCATGGTGGCAAATCATGTTTTCGAGCGCCTCAATTGCATAATGAAATCCGCAAGGGATAGCAAGAAGCCTTTCGGAGGAGTTCAAATCATAGTGACTGGCGACTTTTGCCAGCTCCCTCCCGTCAACGGATTCGGATATTGCTTGATATGCGGCACCAACTTGGGACCTGTCTCCTGGGAAGGTAGACTTAAGTGCGTCAAGTGCTTAGCGGAGTTTGAGGAAACTGACAGGTGGGCTTTTCGCAGCGCTGCGTGGACAGAGTGCAATTTTGAACACGTCAACCTCGAAGTCATTCACCGACAGGAGGACGCTAAATTCAAGGCATTGCTCGAGAAGCGTAGGCTTGGCGAACCTTACAGCGTCGACGAAAAACGGCTTTTACTTGAGCATGCTTCCGAAACCAGAGATGCTGTCAGACTATTCCCAAGGAGAGTAGACGTAAAGACCATTAATGACAAGAAACTTGCGCAGCTTCCAGGGCGGGCTTTGACATATTTGTGCGTTGACAACTTTTATTGGAATTCAGAACATGACACCCTCAGAGACAAAAAAAATCGCTGCCCGGAGCCGATGAACCACACCTTGGAAGCCCTGGAAGAGCATCATTTCGAGCCAAAACTTGTACTTAAGGAAGGGATGCTTGTTATACTTCTTGTCAATTGGGATCTTGACTCGGGTCTAGCCAATGGCAGCCAAGGAACTATCGTTGGCTTCGAAAAACATGACCTGAAGCTGTTTCCCGAAGTGCCACGTGACTGGGATAATTCAAGCCGCAAGAATGGGTTGGTCAGGTTATTCGCCAAACGCACAGCTGTACAAGAGTGGCCCATCGTGCAGTTTCACAATGGTAGGAAAAGAACCATTTACCCACGATGTATGATGAACGAGCTCGGCGACGATGAACCGTATAGCTTGCTCTCCAGGACACAAATCCCGTTGATGGCTGCATGGGCGATGACAGTGCACAAGGCGCAGGGAATGACGCTGTCACGTGTGATCGTTGATTTGAGGCATTCGTTCGAGCCGGGCCAAGACTATGTTGCGCTTTCAAGGGCTGAGACTCTAGGAGGTTTGAAGGTTGAAGGGCTACCGACAGTAAATAGGGGTCCTGACAAGCAAGTGATTGAGTTCCTGAGGGAAAACAATCTCATGCCAGCCATGGACTGGGACGAGTGCAGTGACGCGGAGAGCGAGCAAGTGAAGGAGATTGGATGAAGACTACACTCAATATCGAGAGGGTGTATGCACGTAGTGATGGCAGGTGGGACCGGGGAAGAGCCGGGCTGCATGGAAAAGGTATTGCAACTTGCAAATGACCTGACAAAACACGCGGATATCCAAAGGATCAGTCGCCGCTTCACTGCAGCCACTACTCGCAGTCGGGACATTTCCCCGAAGCCTTATCGCTCCTACCGTCACATTGACCTTGAAAACTCACAAGCTTGCAATTTTCAATTGCCCTCGGGGGTTTCACATTGATTGCCGGAATCTGCATGATGAACTGCTAGATCGCTAGATATGCTTGCTCAGCTTCTGCTCAATATTGCAATCCTTCTCGGGTTATTCCTATCTCAGCTGAGCTTTTGCAATCATTTTCGTGAGGAGAAATGTAGACGATTGATCTACTTGAATATGAAAAAATGCCCAGGCAGTCGGAACCAGAGTCGCTCTGACAAGTTTAGACGGCAGAAAGATCCTTTCGCCGCCGCAATATGCCGTTTCACCTAAGTAAGAAGACACTTTCGTTGAGTGAAGGAGTTTCCTGCTCCCGGACTATGGCATGTGACCCCAATTTGGTACCAGGCAGTAAGGCTTCACTCCAAAATGTACGAGCCCTCGCACTTGTTGAGCCGAGTAGTGCTAGCAGGGAGGCAGCGGCAGCTTCTCAATTGAGGAATCACTGACATAAGATACACATTCAACACTGATTGTATGGCACCGCCACTGGGAAGATGATGGTGTAGGTCCAGTTGTGTTCACAAGTCACAACCGGCCCTCCTGCACGATTGAGTTGTCTTGGCAAGTTTTACCGGCCTAGATTAGAAGCTAAGCCTATTTGAGGTTTTGAGCACCGCCAGCCTTGAAACTTTCCTGTACATTCGGTCATGAAAACGCTTCAGCCTGTCAGCGCGTAGAATTGTCGACCTTGGCCAAAACTAGGTCGTAAGCCAGAATTTGATCTATTAATCCTTCAGTCTTAATCTTGAATAGCTCGTCACTCGCATACGCCAAAACTTTCACTCACTATGGCTTCGTCATATACGCCAGAGCCATTATTCACACATACCCCTTTCCACACTCTACCCCTTGGTCTCCCAGCGCTACGTGCAACATATATACCATCCCCGAATCCTAAAGAACAGCGTGGGCAATATTTGCATCACCAGTGGACCGAAGAGCATGGATGACACGCCTGAATAGTGCAGCGCTATAACGAGGTCTTATAAGAGTGCCTTACCATTTGTCCGGTCACTGAAGCTCAGCTCGTGAGCGACAAGCCAAGGTGAAAACCAAGTACCGAAGAAGAAGTGGAGAGGTATGAGAACACCTTGCCGATGTATGACGAAGATTGGCAGGTAGAAAAAAGAGGCCTGCTCTTGATGGCTATGATCAAAGATGCTGCTCTTCTACCGTGGTCGGGCGACAAAGCCAAGGAGCTTCTAGGTCTCCCATCAATCACGTCGAGAATCGAGTGGAATGTAGAGCCCGATGATGGAACCATGGCATTTGGCATCTAGGGACTCGACGGTAAAAGATCACGAGCTCCTCACTTTCAAGCCACTCACTGACCCTCACCTAGGCAGCAAGCTCATCAATAACAGCAACGAACCTTCAGCTAGGACACCCATTTTGAGACAGAAAAAGTTGCCGCGGTGAATCTATCATATCATCAAATGGCGCCTTACCGCCAGACGTTGAGTATGCTCTACTACGATCTCGACAAGGCCGGCTACGCACACGACAAGCAAATCCTGGATCACTGGGCTGGCAGAAGCTTCTCCGCGGGCATCGCAAGAACTCTGAGAGCCTGCTTCGCTTACCAAACTGCGCTCATCAATGCTCGTGTGGCCCCTCAATTTGATAGAAACGACTCACTTTCGGCAATGGTGGCTATGACCTGTACACAAGACTCCAAGAATGGTGGCAATGTTATCATTTCGGAATTTGGAAGATAGGGTTTTCTACAGCCAGGCGATGTGATGTTCCTTCGTGCTTCTATAATTGAACATTGTATCTTTGCCTATGAAGGCCAACGGTACTCCTTCGTGCATGCCATTCCTAAGAATCTGCTGTGACGCCTATCCAGCAGCATCTCTTCGACTTTGGGCAAATAGCAAAGAGCAGAGGATGCGGCCGAGGGGGCCTCTGACTCCAGAGAACGTGCAGAGTGCCCATTCTATTTAAAACTTTTCCGAACATGAAGACATATCTCTCGGATTGGGTAAAGAGTATAAAGTGCCACGATGTCCAAGCCGTTCGAGAGTGGTCTAATGGGCAGGGCTGAGAACCTTATTGCAAGGTGGATTATGCCGAGGACTGAGTGTATGGTACCTTTCTACTTCTTGCCGTTGACCACCCTGATACAATTTCAAGAACCTTGCCCGATTATGGCACATAATCCGCGTTTCAAATCGGTCTCTGTTTGTGCCGTGAGTTTGGCATGCTACATTGGTGAAGACGTTGGGCACTGTTGATGTTGAGCTCAAAGTTACAAGTCCGAAAAGTCGACTAGAGGAGACAATAACGTACCCTAGCTATCCAATTCATTGATCTATTATAATGTCGCTACCACAAGCTGAGTAAGATATCTTCACCGCAATGGAATAAACACTGCCTCACAAGTTAGGGACCTCATGAGGTGACACAGCTAAGTCATGTCTGGACACCATTCATTGCTTTTCAAAATCACTTCTCTATGTTCACTCTAGCATTTCATAAACTGTGAGTACATGAGTCTCCATGTTCACTCCAGCAATTCACAGACTGTATGAGTCCATGAGTCACATAGCGTCTCGTGAATTGTTGCGGCCTTCACTACCTCCCTGTGAATGCTGAAGAGCATCCTAAAGTATTTAAACCCCCCAATTTCCAACAAAACCCTCCTTCCTACACATCTCTTTTGACAATGCATCTACCATGTACTACCACCAACTACATCTCAAGCCAGTCATAGCGACTCATTCTTCTTCTTGTTTGCTGCAAAGGCCGTGTCATACCTTGACGCTTGCATGTCGACTGTTGCCCTGGTTGAAGAACCACGTTTTCTTTGGTGCTAGTTGCGGTTGGTGCCTTAGAAACTAAATGCGAGCTTGCTTATATGGAATTCATTTCTATGAATACATCTTTCAGATGTCCTCCTGCTATGAGCGATGCTGAAACTCATGCTGCAATCAAGTTTGCTTTTCATGTCATACATATATATCACAAGTGTAGATCAAGTCACTTGGGAAGCGAGGATTTAAAACCTTATTTCCGGGCGCGGATTCAAACCCACATTCACTTAATCACCACCACACTTTTGTTCTTTTCACCCACCAACACACGTACAAACCTTGCCTCAGACTAACAGCATTCTGCTCTGGCTTCATGTCATCGTCTGCGTGGCCCTGCGGGCCACCAAGTACTTGTGGCTGTCGTTGTTCCTGTTGCCTCCGCTGCTGCTGGTAGGTACTTTGAAGACGTGCTTGGCTAAGAAGGCTTGATAGCTCCTTCCGCCGCTATTCCCGTCCCCTCTCGTGAGTGGAAGAGATGCCTGGTACTTGAGAGGTTGCGCTGCTGTGCGTGCGCTCGCACGTGATCCTCGTGCGGTCTACACCGCTCCGCCTGCTGGCTCGCGCCAGCGTAAGTGCGGGCGGTGCTCAAGCGGGGGTCACCCCTGCGTGGCTGACCCGTCTCCCCCCAATTACCAAGCAGCCGTCCTTGCTGCGGCCGCCTCTGGCGGGGATGTTCGCCGCGCCTTGCGCGCTTGGGACGGTATGAGATATTTTGACTGGTATGTGCTAGGGTATGTAGCTGACATGAGTAGCTGCCCGCCGCGCCGCCGCCCCTGCTCCCGCCGCTGCCCTTCTCGCTGCCCCTATCGCTGCCCTTCTCGCTGCCCCTGTCGCTGCCCTTCTCGCTGCCCCTTCGCTGCCCCTCTCGCTGCCCCTGCTGCTAGGCCCTCCCGCCGTTTGGTGGGTCTTCTTGGTAAGAGGTTACTTTCCAGCTTAAGAGAACAGGTAGGCTAATGCTAGACAGTGGTGGTGGTGTGTGTAACCCTTACGGTCACTTTTCTTGTGGTGCGTGGCGCTTCGGCGCTTTAGGATATGCCTGCGGGCTTCTTAGCTGTTTTCACTGGGCCTTTTGGCCACAATTCATTCGCCCGCCCGGGCCCCTCTGCTACTACTGCTTCCGTGGTCTACCTCGCTTCTTGATCCCCCTTGACGATTACGCCTTTAGCTTTATCTTGGGTGCTAATTTATGTAACTTCTTTACTCGCTCGAAGTCCTTAATTACGCCTTTAGCATTTTCGAGGTACTTTATTGATTCCCACGAAGCTTCGTAAGGTGGGGAGTCTTTCCAGTCAATAAGATACTTAGTCTCGCCTTTACGAACTCTTTTGTCTAGCACCTTATTGACCTCCCACTCTTCTTCTTCATCAATCAAGACTGCTTACGGCTCTGGATCATTGTCACGCGAGTACCACGGCTCTAGTAGCGATACATGAAATAGCTCTTTGTTCTAAAAGACTACTACTTTCCATCTGCATCACTTTCATTCAGCTTACCTCACATTATCGGACGCTCACTAACACATGAAATCTTCGCAAACAGACATTGCCGCCAAAGTAGCGGCCCTTCCACGATTTTTCAGTAACATCATCGATCGAAAGCTCGAATACAAACACATAACATCTTCCCCCCTCGGAGAAAAGCTCGTCCCGAGCGTATCGCCAGAGAAAAGCCCGTGAAAATCGCCAATGAAATATTCAAGATCAGGCGTCGAGTGGCCTTCGAAGTCGTTTATGTGAAAAATAGTGGTGGTGGTGTTTTTCCAGGCATCGAGGAGTGTGAAAATGTTAGGAAGGTGTTTCTGGATTTCTTCCTCGGTCAGTCTCAGATGGCAATGGTCTGTGGTGGGAAAACGCCAAATATGGCTACTATCTACTCCAATCCGAGACCAATCCACTAGGTGTGAGTTGATCTCTTGCTCTCATCGCAGTATCGCGATAGCGGCTGCGCATCATCGCAACAGCATGGCACATACATCGGTTGAGGTGATAGTCGAGTGAGGTTGAAGTCGCTCAGATCAACTTCACACACAACAAGCACCTTAAAGGATGCTTTGCGATGCTTTCCGGACAGCATAAGGAGCATGCTGACATGTTGATAGTGTCTCTCCAATCCAACCCCCGTCTGCGCGGCCCTGCGGGCCACCAAATTGGTAGGTTGATGCATAGCAATGCGAGACCTTTGGCTCATAGATATAGCTGTGGCTGTTGTCGTGCCTGTCGCCCCCCCGTGAGTGGAAGAGATGCTAGATGATTGAGAGGTTGCGTTGACATGTGCTAAGGCCCCGCCTGCATGCGCTGCGTGCGTGCCCTCGCGCGACCTGCGCCGCTCCGCCTGCTGGCTCGCGCCGGCGTAAGTGCGAGCGGTGCTCCCGCGGGGGTCACCTCTGCATGGCCGATCCGCTCCCCCCCGCCTCCAAGCAGCTGTCTTTGCTACGGCCGCCTCTGGCGGTGATGTCCGCGGCGCCTTGCGCGCCTGGGAGGGTACGAGAAATCCTGACTGGCATGTGCGAGGGTATATAGCTGACATGAGTAGCTGCTGGGCGCTCCGCCCGCCTCGCCGTCATACATATATATCACCACGGGCATGCCTCCACCGCTGCAAGCGAGGATTATGAACACCGTCGAGCCGCAGAGTAGCGCCTGTCTGACTTGCGAACGGTATGCATATGGTTTCATCTGTTACACAGGGAACACTGCAGCCTTCTCTAAAGGAACCTTTTTCATCTTCCATTCGTCTCGCGGGATCCCTCGTATCACACACCTGCAAAAGCCCGTGCTGAATAGTTTCGCAGAACTGCACCTCACAGCCATTGCTTCTCTGAGTCTTTCTCGTCGGCTTTTGGCAGTCTCAACTTTTGCTCACAGTATCACCGGCGCAGCAAAAAGCTCTGGGAAATGGCACTGCAGCACATAGGCACTGAGCCTTGACAATCGTGTCCGGAATATGCACAATGAGTCCAATGGAGTCCGATGTCTTCATGTCGATTGCAAGAATAACCAACGCCGCTACACGCCAGTGTGAACTCGCCTTCACTTCATAAAGCATAATTCAGAGGCCATCAAACGCAATTATTCTGGTTGCGAAATTCCTGAGTGCTGTATAATGAGACAGTGCATTACTCCCGTCGAAGCTACCGTCATGTTGAGCTCCTTCGCCTCCCTTCTGACTGCCGAGAAAGAGGGCGAGACGGATGCAAAGCTAAAGGGAACGAGCGTCGGCTCTGGAAGTAGGGATGTTGGGGGTGCGGGCTGTACTAGGCCCAGACCGCGTCGGTCTTGTCGTGGTTGATCAAAAAAGGAGCAAAACGTGAGTATCCACCAGCAGTGTACTAGTCTACGAGATGTTGACGCCTCTGGTAGGTGACATAAGACCACCCAGAAAAGGGGCATATCAACAACCTCAATACTAGCTACTGGATCTGCCTACATTGTCGACGTGGACGACATCGTCCTGTTTGCACGGCTATTCGTGGAAGTATTTCCTGCACCCACCCCAGCCACAGTGCTGGAGGATCTTCGTCGGGAAATCGCGTCTCGGAGGCGATTTTCTGACTCGTACCAGAGCCAAAGCATGAACTATCCATCCTTAGATCAAAGGACAAAAGTCACAGGCACTTCAAAAGCGTCCTTGATCGGTTGCTTGACCTATGTATGACCTGATCTAGATCGGTGCTTAAAGTCGCGGGCCGAAGCCTTCACGATACAAGTTAATGAACAGGTCGCTATATGCTGTCTCTGCAGCCTACTTGTACAACGCTGCGAGGAACGAAAGCTACCTTCCGACTCGTTGGTCCGACATGGAGAAGCTAATTGATCTCTATGGATGCGGCGACATCTTTCACAGAGCAACACCAAGAAACAATCTTTGCCTATCGCAATAACCATCTGATGGCCACAGGAAGCTCAGCCAAAAAATTCTTATTCGCACACATCCAGCAAAGCGAAGCAGCTGTCTCCAACAGACCGTCATCGGGAATATGAATGCTGGGGAGGTCAACTACCATTATGATATTTTCGCCAGCTCCACAAATACAAGCTGGACCACGAACGGCGACCGCTTCGCATCGGGACGACAGAATGGTGGATGGGTCAGCGGGCGGATCGTATGACTCTCCTGGAACACGGAGCCATGGCCGCCGATCTTGTAGTGTGCGTCGTGCCATCGAGCGTGCCCTCGCGCGTAACCCTCGCGCGGCCTGCACCGCTCCGTCTGCTGGCTCGCGCCAGCGTAAGTGCGGGCGATGCTCCCGCAGGGTCACCCCTACGTAGCCGATTCGTCCCCCCCCCACCACCAAGCAGCTATCCTTACTGCGGCCGCCTCTAGCGATAATGTTCGTGGCGCCTTGCGCGCTTGGGAGGGTATGAGACATCCTGACTGGCATGTGCTAGGGTATATAGCTGACATGAGTAGCACGATCCTGGATCTTGCGACGCCCGCTTTGATAAGCATGTGGTCGTGCAAACGGCTCAATTCCTAAGGCCCCATCACAGAAAGCAGCTGGTACGGAACGGGAACTGCCCGCCCGTGTCGCTGCCACCGGAGACTGGACGTGCGCTATCTACAAAGACAACGCATGCACACCTCTTCGATCGCATCGATCAGGCTGGAAGCCTCCGTCAAGTTCAACTTGGGCGATGGTGGAGATTTTGACAGTGGTGAGAGGTCGGAGGATGAGGATGACTCTGTGGATGAGTGATCTTGAGGAGTATTTTATAGATAAGAATGGTTAGGAAAATCTCGTGGATGGGAACGAGGAGGGGGATGGGGATGATGAGCACAAGGACGACGAAAACGTGGGCTCAAGCTCCAAGAACAAGGGAAAGAAGCGAGTGCCAGATAACGACGACCCCGAGACTCTCATCGAGATGCTGGCCCTAATCGCGGGCGAAGGGGACGAGACGAAAGTTGCAGAAGAGCATGTATGTACGGGCAGGACTTTGGTAACGTGCCTCAGCAGCGCGAAGTTCGAGTACATGAGAAAACGCAAGAAGTGTTCCAAGGCATACCGAGGCCAGATCAGTCCCAGCCTGGTATAACAAGGACAGACGGTATTCACGCGAGCGCATCTCCTTCCGGAGCCATACGGGGCGAGGTTGGCTTCCAGTGGTATTGCAATCATCGTGCCTTTGGCATACCTCGAAGAACAAGCGGCTTCTGTCACCGCAATACATTTCCACATACACCCGACTGAGCCAGGACATAAGGATCAACTGTCAAGTTGGCTGCTATCCGAGTTCTATCCAGTTATCGTTATACCGTTCGACAACGATAGTAGGCGGTCCTCAGCCACCCACCCAAGATAGCTGGTACTCCGAAGTAGTCATACTCAGTGAGCTCTTCTATAAGATAGCAAAGCTCAGGCAAAACGGAGATCTACCTATGCAGGATTGGGCCCGCGGATCGGAAGAAACGCTCGGAAATCGATATCTGCCTCTATAGCTGCTAGGTTGTCCGAGTTCGACGACGCGATCACCAACATCTTTGGCTCGTCTTTGGGCCACAGCTCTCTCTTGATACGCAATATCTGCTGGGTAAATCTCCTCTCAGGTATTCTTCTGCGATGACGGCACTGACTTCGAATCTAGGCGAAAACATCACACGAAGGTTTCGAAATTCGAAGCAACAGGCAGTACCTGCAAGAGCGAATTTGCACAAGTCGCCGTCGATTGGCCACGTCTCACTAGAAGACTCGTGGTATCAATTGCCCAGGCCATTTACATTGGATAGGACTCTTGCAATGGAGCCACGAAGCGCTGGGAGAAGATTGGCAGAAGAAGAGGAATGCAGAGGCTTCGAAATCGAAAGTCAAAATCACGGACTTGTAAATGATCATCAATTTAAAGAAGGGATTCTCAAAGCATCGGAGACATACATCAGCGTGTCGAGCGGTTGCAAAGCCAAACATACGCTGAGAAGCTCTTGCACGGACGTTTATCTGGCTTTGAAAACTCTATTCAAGACTGACCGTCACCGAAGCCCCTTTCCAAATGGTGTGTTCCGGTTCAAACCGGACAAGAACTCGCACAGTGCAGCAGCTTTCCGATATTCCGTCCTCGGTTCAACGCCGCCGCATTCCCTTACAGGAGAAACAGAACCACTCGAGCTGTTCAAACGCCTGTGGAGCACGTTGAAATGAAAAGGATTTCGATCGGTGCCGTAAAAGCCGTCCCGAACAAACCGGCAATGTCTTTGGGCTCAAAGGAACGCTCGCAACGCAAAAAACAGACGGAGAGCCACGAGGGAAAGAAGACCCACACAGCAAATGAAGAGAACTACTGGTTATGCAAAGCGATGTCAAGATGAGAATGCTTGGTGCTATGGTGTCATCCATCCGTTGCCTCGACTGCACTTGACTTGGTACTTTTCAAAAGACAGAAAGAGCGGAAGCATCGTCGTAAGTCATCGCCAGTCCGCAACAGGAGGATTTTCCTTTCCACTATCTAAGACCGATACACCTCGCTCTGTTCCATAAAATTTGGATGCGAGTTCTTCTCAAGGAGGTGAAGGTCACGGCGACATCAACTCTCCCTTTCAACCTCGGCTATCATCATCCCTGCGACCGAATCATACCCCTTGAGTTCTTTGAAGGGGATCATGTCCATTTAGGGCTGCCAATTCACCGCCACCAGAGGATGAACTGACCCGTGGAATCATGGAAGTCTCCTCGGACAAAACCCGTTCATTTACAGGTAGCTTTTCGGGTTGCAAATCTTCCTCGATACCCAGCTATTGCTCCAAGCCCCCTGCGGTGTTTCGAACCCTGCGCCAAAAATTGACGTGCCGAGTGTGCGGAATATCTGAAGACGTATCACTGTTGGAATCAGTAATAGGAGGCCAGCCTGGCAACGCTAATAGTCCCTGTGTTGTTCCATGACGAATTGCTCCATAGTTAGACTTCCTACACCTATCCTACATCCTTCATAGATTATTATAATTGAATCCTATTCAACTGCGTATGAGACCACCGAAGGCACCCATGTTCCAATGATCACGCAAGGGAGACAAGAAGCCAGCGCGACAAGAAAGCCGCATCACGCTTGAGCTACAGAAGAACGTCGACATCCGAGACACGCAAGCTGCGAACCATTTCTAGAGCATGAACCCAGCGCGTGCAGCGACAAATTCCAACCCTCAACAGGCCGCAAACGAGACTCCAATGGCTGAAAGAGACTAAGACGAGGCTGCGGAGCAAAACCGGCAAAAGTCCAGACTTTGCCGGAGCGATGTAGATAAATCAGACGTAGTATAGCACCTACAAGTAAAAGTCCTTAACCAAAACCGGACCAAGCCAAATCATAACACACCACCGTGCACGACTCCAGATACCCAACTTCGCATCCACCACTTCACCCACCAGAGACGAGAGACCAGAAAGGTAGAAACGAGAGTACGTCTAATCTAGTAGCGCCGCAACAAAGCCGTAGCACCGGCACCGAAAACACCAAAGACCAGCGCTATCGCGTTCCTTCTTTTCCCATCCTCCCATCCCTCCCCCTCCCATCCCATCCCATCATCCCCGTCATCCCTCCCATCCCTCCCATCCCCCCCATCCCTCCCATCCCTCCCCCTCCCATCCCATCCCATCCCTCCCATCCCTCCCATCCCTCCCATCCCTCCCCCGCAACCTAAACGCACGCACGCACGCGTCCATCCATCAACCAAGACAATACATCAAATTTCCCCAAAAGCAAGCCGCGCGCAAAAACAGGGACCATATCATCTCATCTCCCCCTGCCCCTTTTGCATCGCCGATGCTGCTTCCATGCTCTCAAAACCTCTCGCATCACTCTCCCACCGGTACAGAACCACCGGTTCAGAGTCCGGCAGTCCGTCATGAGCTTCGCTCGACGCGGCCTGGTAGTCATTATGGTTGTTGCCTTGATGGGATCGGATTGTTTTTGGGAGGATGGAAGGAGCGGAGTATTGTTTTCTCGTTCGAGTTGCATGTAGACAATTATGCACATTCTTCGCATGTTTTCAGTGTGGAGACATGTTAGAGGATCAGGTAGCCAAGGTCGACCCTGAGAAAACTCGTGAACAGTCGTAGCGACATGACTCTCCGCGCATACGTTACAAAGCAGCAGATACATGGATTTGCTTTCAATTTGTTGTATAGAACATGATATCGTCATTCATTCAATGCCCAACTTCCATATATATTAGAAACGCACATTCCTCGAAACGACACGCCCTCCTCAGTCGAGTCAAGGGTGTATGATGACGCCCAAGTCCCTGATCCTGGAGATCTCCTCATCGTCAAGGGGTTCTTCCTCTCTCTCCACCTCGTGTATGATGACGCCCAAGTCCCTGATCCTGGAGATCTCCTCATCGTCAAGGGGTTCTTCCTCTCTCTCCACCTCCTCCATTCTAGCCTTCCAGTATCCCCGCAAGAATTCCGGCACCGTTACTCCAAGCTCGGTGTATTTCTCCTGAAATTCTGCGACCAGGGTGTCCAATTTGCTGAGCAACAAGCGCTCCTCGTCACGGATCTCTGCACACTCCGCACTATCATTGGCAGTAGGCATATCATGACCATAAGAACGGGCCTTGCAACATGTATGTGTGAGTCCAAGCTGTTCAAAAGTTTCATATCGAATGATTTCGCGTGTCAACCACCGCCATGCCTCATGGCGATGGCCCAGGGTAGTAATCATCCATTCGATCACCCATAAGCGCCCCTCAACGGGATCAAGATTATCCCAGACCGCACCAATCCTCATCGTAATGCCTTTCAGCATCATTACCGCGGGAGTACAGCCGTTGCTTGAGCAGGCACAGAGACAGTTGTCATCGAGCTTTGAATGAAAACATCCCCTCAAAAGCGACTGACATTTATCGTCAAGTTTGTCCAAGGTCCCAAAGAGCCACGTGCGGTTAAACTGGGTTGAGTACTCCGAATAGACCAAAATGTAGTCTGCCAGACACCCTTACCAACCCAAGAACATATGTAATGTGTTGCAGTGGTACTCGGATCACACCGCATGCCTTCACATGGGGTAGCGTTGCGTCTGGGATCGGCTCCTTTTGATATCAGCCACACAGAGCGGTGCAGAGCAGTCTTGAGTCTGCAGTGATCTGCCAATCCCATTCTCATTAACGGAGTGCGACCCTCATCGTCGATGCCATCCACATCAATGAATCCTCTTCCATAAAGCACATCACCAAGGGCTGGGGAGAAGTCCTCGCTGTGGAACAACGTGGTTCGGTACGAAGGAGGGCGCAGTGCCGATGGAACGGGAACATTTCTATGCGCAAGAGCTTTGTAGACATCAAAGGCCTTCTCGTCAAGAATGCGATCGTCAGTAATTCTCAGTTCCTCCAGATCTTTGCGACATAGCTTGGTGGTGGCTAAGGAGTACAGGCGGCTCCTCCGGTCCACTAGTGCAGTTTGCAGTTGACTGATTATCTCGTCAGTGCTCGTCCGGGTAGCTTCATCCAAGACAGTGTCACTACGAGACCAATCATCAGACCGCTTAGCCAGCTTATCCGCTTAGCCATCATCAGACTCGCATAGAGAAGATAGAGCGCTGTCAGCCTCCAACATCAGCTTCACTGCTTCTAGACAATTACTTGCACAGGCATACGCTAAAGGAAGATGTCCGCGGTTGTCCGTTTGGTCGATTATTTCACTGCCGCCACAACGAAGCAACAGAATGACACCTTTCGGCCAAGTGCAAGAAAGGTGAAGAGGAGACTGGCCTCGTGAGTTCCGATCATGGATGCTTCCTGGGGATTTGTGCAAAATTTGCTCAGTGTTCCTTTCCGAGCGACAGAGGATAGCGGCACTGAGTGCACCGCATTCAGAATCTGCTATCCGTTAGTCACAGTTGAAAGGAACATTGTCAAAGCAGTATTACCGTCCATCCATTTATCAAATTTGATCGATCTTTCTAAATGCCTTGCCGGAAAGTAATCATAATCCCAAAACCAGGAATCCGATAGTTCTGCGCCAGCCTCGAACGCCAGTTCAGCGTAATTCCGTTCGGATCTTATCTCCCCACTAGCCTCCATGCCATCATCTACTAAGTAGTCTAGAACAGTTCTAAAGTATGCAGAATTTCAGTTAAGACAATTGTCATCGCTTATAATATTTTTGATTTGACTTACCGTCCCTCATCACATGTTTCGTTTAGAGGGACCCCAGCAGCGACAAGTCCCATGAAAAGAATACGAAAGCTCTGGGATGCCTCAATATTAAAATCCGTACTTAGCATAATCATGCCGCCGCAGAGTTCCTATGCACGGGTGTCAGCATGAAGCCTTCTCCCAGTCAGGTGCTGATATTACAGTGAGCAAAGTTTCTCCGTCCTCGTCTATATCGGTCGGTGACGCTGCCTTATCCTTGAACAACTCGTAGAGTTGTTGCAAAATACTTTCGAAATACTCGCAGACTTCGTTTGTTTGGGATAGAGGCATGCTGCGGAAACCCTTTGACAGTTCCCGCAGGTTTAGAAGACTGAACGCTGGCGAATTACTGGGGACTAGAGCACGATAGTTCAAGCAAGGGTTTATCGAAAACCCACCAGCTCCAGCCGTGATGGATATAGTAGCCCGAACAGTGTTTGCTAAAAGTCTCCCATAGTATGCCATCTTGAGTCCTACTATTGTGGTTGCCTCAGTCCCAATGTAGAAAGGACAGATGGTCGAATGCTTGCAAGATTCCATGGACGTCTTGAAAAACTCGACGCTACCAATCGAGTACGTGGCGACTCTTCTCCGGGTCAGAGGAGAGCAAGAGCAGTATGGTATCTGCTGGGTCCGTTTCCCATTTCGACCGTCCTGTGTAGTTCTATTTCGCGCCATCATTGTGGATATACGTTCGATATTCATCTCCAGACCGTCCGTTTCATCGCAGACAGTCCGTAGTATGCTGGGCCTCTGAGCCAGAGCAAGTTGAAGCTTTCGCACGTCCTCATCCTGACAGATCGTCAGCGCTGTTCTATCCTGTATCGATCGAACGATAATACCATGTCGCCGAGAGTTGTAGACGTGGCTGACTTGATAACATTCAAGCCAGAGGCCTCTACTGATGGACTCCGGCCCGCCAAAGCGGTAGATGCTGCCAGACTTTCTTCGATCCGAAGGGGAAGCTGATCAAGCCTGGTCTGGAAATCAGGCAAGATGCAGGACGTGACCCTTTCAATGGCCTGAAGTCTTCGCTCCATACTCTGCTCCATACTTGTAATAGAAGAATGAAGCATCGGAACATCGGACGTAAATTGAGCCACACCTTGTTGGATTTGTGGCAAGGCACCCATGACTACATCCACCTTATGGTCAATAACCGAAATACCCCGGCTAGCGCCATCAACCGATGAGGCTGTCGACTTTGTAAGATCCACCAAGTCTGAGGTCCGTCGGAACTGGGCTTCGGACGTGTCACTGGTTGGACAATTGTTAGGAGCAAATCGGAGATCTGGCAGTAAACGCAAGAACCACAGATGTTGCTTACAGTTGCAAGACCTGGAGCGCAGTACCCAGATTATCCTCGAGATCCCGCAGAATTTCTTTGAGACTATCCAAAGAAGACTGTCGAAAAGGAAATATAGCCTTCTGTCGACAATCTCGAAGTTTGTCTGTAAGGCTGGTGGGAGCAGGATTCTTGCGACATTTTCCCAGAAATTGTTCCAGCCTCGCGGTGCCCTCTTGGCAAGAGAGCACGCACCGCTCCACATGGCCAGCAATCGCTAAAGAAGACGATATCTTCGGCAGGATCTCTTCAAGGGCGGAAAGACTGCTCCGCAGCGTTTCGATTCTCCCCTTCGCGTGGCTGATGTCCTGGTCCTGGGTGTCCCATGAATTGTAGTAGGAGAGGACACCTTGGCAGGTTGTGATGGCTAGAGAAATGATGCCCACTGCACTGCCGGCCGCGGCAAGTTCGGCCATGGTGTAGACGGGGAGAACAGCGACCTGCTCGCAAAGACAAGATGGATATCGAAGGAAGGAAAGAATTTTTGATGAAGAGAGATGATGACAATGCTTTTAAGATGAGGCTGTGAGGCTGTGACTGATGCCTAACGGTCCTGCAGCAAGGCCATGCAGCCTTGTGGCTGCGGGGTAGGCGAAGAGAGAAGAGAAAGAGCGAGGCGATGCTCCGCTCTCTCTCTAAATCTACAACACAACAAGCGCGCAACCAGTATAACAATTTTTCCATGCTATTTCTTGGAGGATGACTGAAGATTCCGCTGAGACTATACAGTAACTGTTTAAGTATGAAGACTGAAAAGTAATCTTTTGGCTACAATTCGTCATCACGTACAATTTGCATCGAGTCGTCATACCGTCGATAGAAAGGCGGAGGAGCGCAACCTAGGACAAAATGCACCAGTCGCTGCTAGCAATGTGCGCATGGATGCATTGATATAGAGAGTGTATGCGTATCATGTGGGGAACCTGGAAATGGCCGCAGAAAAACGAAGCTTCTAGAGCGAATGACCAAGGATTTCTGGCATTTCTGTATTCGACTCAGTGAGTCCTGGATGATCACTGCTTGTATTCGGGTGTGCCATGTAGATCGACTGGTGCTCTCGTGCATCCGCGGCTTTCTGATTTCTTCTATGGATGAGGATGCTGCCTGCAACTGACCAGCGGAAGTATCCCTCCCTGCCTCAAACAAACCTCATCCCCTGGACCCGATCCACAATATCCTCGTTCCTTCCAGCTGTGCCTCCAAGTTTCCCACGCCTATCACTCCCGTACGTCTTGTCCCAGCTAACTTTCTCCCCACACATAATCTCGTACGCCGTCTTCGCTACCTCCAGCACATCTTCATGTAGTGTAGGGTTGATAGCCGCATATCCATCGCACATATCTGCCAACGCAACAACCACTTCATCAACCATAAATCCCCAACGCGTGACCTTGAAGGAAGTTGCAGTGATTTCTGTCTCGAAGCCAAGGGCATGCAACATTCGAAGGGTCAGCTCGATCACTTGGGTTGCGAGGCCGTCGGAGTGGCAGGCGGAGATGAGGTTGATTATGGGGCCCACCATGCTTTTGCGCGGCTCCATGGCTGGTGGGTTGATGTAAGTAGAGTCGAGAGCGTCGAGAAGGTTTGCGTACCTAATCAAATGTCAGATCCAAGACGTGAAGCCGTGTGATGAGCAATGACCATACACTCCAAGATCAGTTGCAGTGCTCCTCTCGAAACGTTCAATAATCTCTTCGGTGATCTTGGCACGCTTTCTGACCATCTTCTGGGAATAATCTTTCTCCGCAAAGCACACCTGGCACTCACACCGGAAACCCCACTTCTTGAGCATCTTTTGACGTGCCTTGTAACTCTCCAAGCAAGATATATAGCCAAATTTTAGCTCAGTGTCAGCTGGGATATCTGCCTGAGCTCGAAAGATCATCATGTCGCCAATGTAAGTCCGGCGTACAAGTGGATAGCAGCTATGATTGATATGAGAAGCAAAAATCCAAACGCCGATGGAGCCTGATTCTTCGGCCTTGAGGTCATCCGGGGTGTGGCCGCTCTTCCAGTGAAACTCGTAGGTAAGGCTTGGGAATGCGAACGCATTATAGAAGGTTCGATGTTGAATAAAAGAACTGTTACGGGCGTTGTTAGCAGGATGCCCACAATAGCTTGGTTCAGACTCCTCACCTGTCAACCACAGGGAGGTTGGTTTCCTCGTCGATCTCTTCATCAGCGTCAGGACCTGAGTACAAGTCGGCAAATGCCGAAACAACACTAGTGTTCCGAATCAACTTGATGAATATACTCGCAGCAAGCTCTGTGCGGAGCTTTAGTCTCCACTTGGACCCGTCAGAGCTAGTGTCGTTGGAATGATTAATGTCTGCCGCAGCCTTGCTATCATATGGAGCAAATGCGGTGGCATAAGCTTTTTCGCACAGGAGCAGCTGGCCTGCCTTTACGGCTTCCGTGGCGAAAAGCCCACGACCATGAGACTCAATGGCGCATTTGCGGACCTCAATTGGTCCGATGTAGGCTGCGCGATCCAAGCGCGGTGATGGCTGTTTGGTTATTGCCTCATCTAGCATCGATTCGAAGTCGAACTCTCCAGCTTGTTCTCGGGATCGAAGTTCACACCGCTTGATCTCTTGGACGGCAGCTTTGTTTCCAGGGTAGTGCTTCTTCAGCTTCGCTAGATAGGAACAGCATCTAGCAAAACTTCCTAGATCGTAAGAGACGCGAGCAGCCCTAAAGAGTGCTTTCTCGTTCGTTGGGTCGATTTCGAGCACAGCCTTCGCGTCTTCGAGTGCTGCGTCGTAGTGTTGAAACGACAATCTGGCTTGGCAGCGGTTTAGGAGGAGTACCAGGCCATGTTCCTCGGTCGATACCCGTCGTAAAGCCTCATCGTAGCTGAATTTTGTCAGTCAAAGTTCGTGATGGAAGAACCATTGGATTACCAATCGATAGCCTTCAGGTATTTCCCATCCTTCCAATATGTATTTCCTTGCAGCTTCCAAAGCAGCGCTTCTGTTGGCATTGGAGCCATCCTTTGGTTGAATCGGGTGAAAGGCTGGCGACGCCCGTTTCTACCGGGAAAATCGCCGCTGGTTGCGTTGACTTCCAGCTTGAGCCGAAAAGTGAAGTAACTGTAGATTCAGGATTCAGAACGTAGCACAGTGACAAGGCTTGGTAGATTGGTATCCGGTTTGACGAATACAAGGAGTACTATCACCTGCTGTGTGTCGGTCACCGAGCCAAACGCGCGCAGATTTCTGGATTCGTCACCCCCTGCTGAAGATTCTCTAGGATTCTGACATTATTCCTCAGGTTGCGGGCACAGGGGGCAGCCAAGCCCAGGTCACTTCAACGCGTCCAAGACTCGGATCAGCCAATTGCTTGAAAGCCCCAGGGCTGACGTCCACGTCAGTAGGTTGACAGCCCACACCTAAAGCCAGTCAGCCAGTCGCTTTTGCGAAAGTTGATTGAGACCAGGCCGTACATCGATCTACAACGGTCAAATCAATGCTGTTGCCATTGCGAACAGCTCTCAGCTTGTGTCCGCACAGCGGATTGGCGTTCGGATTTGAGCCTTTGGATACAGCGTCGAATGTAAAGTGACTGATGGATACAATGTGGTCGGTGTCTGAGGAAGTGATGCCGCAGGCACCTAGTCCAGGGCCGTAGTAGGTGAGATCGCCGGTGTAAGTCTGCGATCCCAAAGGGAGATTCTGGTGGTTACTGAGCAGAGACTTAGGGAGCAAGTTCTTGAAGTTCTACGCTGGGGCAGAGGCATACCTGGACTTCTTGCTGAGGCCAATTGCAAGACCAAGTATCACGGCTAGTAATATCAATAATCCTACGAAAATGGCAATGTAGGCGATCTTTCTACTGAAGCCAAAGTACTTTCTGTGGCCGGGCATGACACGATCAAAGACCAAGGATACGCGTTCTTTCACACCCGATTTCTTGCCAATCTGGACCTGCTTTTCTCCGCGATGACGAGCGGTGGTCTCCCATTCCGGTAGATGGAACTCTTCGACATTTCCTTGAGCCTTGGGATTCTCCATTCTTCGAAAGACCACTTCTTAGATTGTACAAGTAGTCGCTCAAGTCGGCACCTTCTATATCAAATACGGAGTAGATGCTTTTGGGTATCAAGTAGTGGATAGATAACATCTACTGAGAGTATCTGTAGCACCAATCCAGCCTAGTGTTTCAGGTTGACCGAGGACGAGTGCTACAATGCTGACGGTCTTGATGATTTCATACAGAGCATCTGCGTCCGCTTCACGTTTCATGGCAGTATCAGTACGCGCTGAAATTGGAGAACACAGGGCGATTCCGATGAGCCAATCAGAAACGCTGGGATTTGATTACGCCCTATACCACCCTATACCCGAAATGGAATAGGCAGATCTTTCACCCTCGGTTGTGATTGAATGGTGCATTTTGCCTCTTCTCCTCCGCCGTCATTCTCCCCATTCCATTTCTCCCACCACCACCCTCAATCAATCACCCATCTCCAAGTGCGAAGTTATCACAGGCAGCCAGTCTTCAGTAAAGGCCATCGTATAATATCTGTTCCATTGGCTTATATTCACCCTCACCGCCATCCGCAATGGCCGTCCTCCGCACCACCACGTCCCGCATTCTCGCCTCCACTCGCCCTTCCACCCTGTCCCCTTTCCTCCGCCGCACTTATGCAACCGTCGAACCCATCTCCAACCTTGGTGAAGCCATGTCTGCCACTCAACGGCCTGTCTCCCCAAAACACACCTCCACCATCCACGAGCCCGCTCAATCTCCGGAGGCCCGAACAAAGACCTTCCACATCTACCGCTGGTCGCCTGATACGCCCACCGAGAAGCCTAAGATGCAATCTTACACGCTGGATTTGAACAAGACGGGACCGATGGTGCTGGACGCATTGATTCGGATCAAGAATGAGGTGGATCCTACGTTGACATTTAGGCGGAGTTGTAGGGAGGGGATCTGTGGGAGTTGTGCTATGAATATTGATGGAGTCAATACGCTGGCTTGCTTATGTAAGTCTCCATCAAAGTCTAGCCACATAGCATGGACGCTGACGAGTTGTGTGTATAGGCCGCATCCCAGCAAACACATCCCATGAAGCCCGCATCTACCCTCTACCTCACACCTACGTCGTCAAAGATCTCGTTCCGGACCTGACCCAATTCTACAAGCAATACAAATCGATCAAGCCATACCTGCAGCGTGACACCAAGACCGAAGATGTACGCCTCCCCAACTTTTTCCACCTCCCCTCTCTCTCTCTGAGATCCCCCACCATCTTTCTTTGTCCCAATTGATGCTGACATGAATGGTTCCCAGGGCCTCGAAAACCGCCAATCACCCGAGGACCGCAAGAAGCTCGACGGCCTCTACGAATGCATCCTCTGCGCCTGCTGCTCGACGTCCTGCCCCTCCTACTGGTGGAACAGCGAAGAGTACCTCGGTCCCGCCGTCCTGCTGCAATCATACCGCTGGCTCGCCGATTCCCGCGACGAGCACAAGGCCGAGAGGAAAGAGATGCTGGACAATAGCATGAGCCTGTACAGATGCCACACGATCCTGAACTGCTCGAGAACGTGCCCGAAGGGGCTGAATCCGGGCAAGGCAATTGCGGAGATCAAGAAGACGATGGCCTTTACCTGAGTGGACTTTAGGGGTGGGAACGATGACAAGGAGGGCGTTAAGCATGGATCACGAGGGTGGCCGAAGAGGGGATCTCTCGTCGGAGAGCTTTCACTCTCTTCATCTCTAGCTGTTGTACATAGCATTTGGAATAAATTGGTTACGGAAGCTACGGACCATGACCACCCAAAGCGATGTTCGTGAGAGAGAGTAACCCTTGAATCCAGGGGCTCCATCTCCCGAATGTAGGACTCGAATATCCTTGCTGGTACCAGCCCCGTCAATATAAGGTCATCAACGACCCATCACTGAGTTGTCTGAGGATAACATGCTATTCAACCACGATCTAATGTACAAAGCAGCGCACTTCGGAAGTCTCAAAGCCTCGACTGCGGCTATCGAAAAGTCACTCATCCTCCACAATGCCTAATCAAAGGCCGGAAACGACAGTCATCAATCCCTCCTCACCATCGATCCAATCCACTCCTCAATCAAAGAGCTGAAAATCCCCACCATCCATCTCCATCTCCTCTCCACCCAACTCATCCGCATCGTTTTCGTCCTCGAGATCCTCCCCGTCGGCGCTGAATTCTTCCAGGAATTCACTCGTGTCTCCGGAATGCACCTCTTCGCCATCGTGAATCTCATCCATTGGACCTGGCAAATCCTCCGTGTGCAGCCTCTCATTCACCGCTGGTGCTTCAAGCCCTTCCGCAGCTCTCAGTAGGGGCTCTCCGGCCTTGATAGCGGGCCCAGCATCCGTCTCAATCGCGTAGACGTTCACTCCCTCTCTTAGAACGACGGTGACATTAGGAGTCTCCCCCAATGCAGGGTCGGCGATACGGATCATGTTGAACAATGAATCGATGCTTGCGATCCAGTGGGTTTTATCTTCCTGGTTTTTTAGAATCTCGGCGAGTCCTTCCCAGCGCTCATCCCACGGGCCGAAAGCGGTATCGAGCATGCCGTCGGCTCCGAAGCACTTGACGTAGCGAGGGCCTTTCGTGATGCGCATAGCTCTGTTAATTTTGACGAGGAGGGTATTGATGATCCAGCCATCTAATATGCTGAGGTTGACGAACTGGTCCGTGTTTGTGTTCTCGAAGAGTTGGTGGAGGTAGCGTATTGGGCGGACGACGTGCGATATAAAGGACCACGGCTCCACCTCGCAATCCTCTATACCACGCATGTTGGGGCCTGAAGTGGCAAACTTGAGGTCATTGCTTCTGAGTGGACTCTCGCCGAGATTTAAGGCTATGGTGATGTGGCGAAGAAAGATTAGGTCACGAAGACACTGAGTCTTGCAGTCGGTCATTGACCTCGGCTTTGGATCGTTGAAATGGCTCTGACGGAGTCCTTGCTCAATCTTGGTCCGACAGATTCCGTTGTCGAAAGCCTCAGTCAACTCACGGCAGGCGGATGAACATGTGGGCACCAAGTGGTTGGTACGACAGAACATGAAGCCCTGACGAGGGGATGATGGAGTCGGCAAGGACCGAGGTCTATGGGCGCTTGACAAATCGTGAGAAGATTCCTCCGCACTGGCTCCTGGGCGAATGTCTGAGTTCGTAGGAGTCTGGGTCCTTACAAACAGGCTGGGGCACTGTAAGGGGACAGCTAGCAAAGACGCGCAACCATTACAATAGAGATCATTGTAACTACCGGCACGTCTTTTTGCCTCCACCTCCTCGGGGATGCTGGTCGCCACATTGGAGATCGTCTGCTTGGACAGTACCACGTCTCCGGAGTCGATGTCCCGGTTGGCTCGGAGCTCAATGTATGGCTTGAGACCTTCGACCGGTGTATCCACTGTCTTCTCTGGTTCAATAATTAAAGCCGAACAATTGCTGCTGCAAGTCTCCACCCAAGCGTGGATTTGCTTTTGACAGTCGGATTCCGTTAATTTAGGCTCATACTGTGCGATCTCGAGGTCAGCATTCCTTTTGAGGTTGGTGTTGGGGCGAATGAATCATTAAGGAAGTGAACAGTGGGATAGAACAAGAGATTTTGCTCTAGAAATGGCTTTGTGTCCCAGTAACGGCACCAATAAAGCGGGCGAATAAGACTAGATTGAGACTTACCGGGTCCCAGGAGTAGTCACCATAGCCACCACTTGATGTCGTAGCCTTCATGCTTTCTTTAAGTTCTGTCATACGCTCGTCTCGCTTGTCTTGTGTATCTTGGCCTAAGTGCGGATTATTGGGGTTGACCTCGTCGACGAGTTGATTCATGATTTCGTTGCCCAGCTGATCGAACCAACGGCTTTCCCAAGGACTCATCTCGATTCTCGCTACGGCAAATTCAGAATTAGCATTGGTTGTTTAAGATTCAGTTTTGGCTTTGAGACATGCTCTCTGAGCGAAAGCTTTACAAGTTGCCGCCTATGCTCAGAATATGACACAGAACAGGAAAGTTGGACACTGAAGGTACCTACATCTGGTATCATCGATGAGTCCAAGCGCATCCATTCGTGCACCACCTCCAATCATAAAGAGAGCGCCGCATAGTCGATAGGCAGCGCGGATATCCAAAGCTCTGACAAGTGGTATTTTGGATGTCCCAAATGGCCGTATTTGCGCTCCATTGGGGACAGTGACCTCTGGGATAGCATTGACGACAATACTGGCCAGGGGACTCCTCGCCCAACCGTTTCCAATGTTGCGATGTGGTGGCCTCGTCCATTTGTGGTTTGCGTTAACATGCAGCCGTTCTGCCCTGATATACTTGCCTACTTTGCTTAGGCGCTCGTTTCCAATCAAAGTATTCTAATGGAAGTTGGGAATCAGCGTGTTTCTTCAACAGACTCAGACAAGTATGGGAATCAGAAGGAAGGAAGATAGCCCATTTCAGGACAGATAGTGGCGTTAAGAGACAAGGCTCAGAGGACAAACCATTCCTCACGATTCAGGTTGGGGTCATGATTGAGGAGTAATCACTGTTGAAACACGTACCTTCCCCAATTCGCTCGTTGCGATGCAAGCACGATAGGCGTCCACCACAGCAAGCTCGTAGTACCTCTCCTCTATGTATGCCATGCTACGGTTAAGGAAGGCGCACACATGAGCGGGTGATAGCTTGTACAGGACTTCCGTATAGTGGCGGATGGCCTGTTCTGGTCTGCCACTGCTGAGTGCTATATTCGCTCGAACCATGATATCGGAAAGTCCTCCGCGAGCATGGACGAGCCGAGGCCTTTGGCTGGGTTGATCCATCTTGATTCCGAGCACAGCAATGCGAAAGAACCTTATGAACGACGAGGATGGTAGGTAATAATAAGCGGGAAAAACTTTTCGCGTTTGTGGTCTCTTTGGTGTTGTCACGATGAAGACTAGAGCCGGTATTTCGTCTATCAAAAACTCTTGGCGGGGACAGTGCCTGATACCTGGATAATCTTAGCGGAAGCGGTCATGTCAACCGGCAGTTTCAAACCTTTCTACACAATGTACGCAAAACCCAAATCCATATCATCTTACCCACCAAAGACACGGGAGACAATCAAGCTCGCCCCCTTCACCGGCACTTGCTCACTTCTCTTCTGGTACCACTGAGGCTGCACGCGTCATTAGTCGACGAATCGCTAGGCCTGCGACCTCATCATTATCAACCATGATCTCATTTGCCAGCCGTTTCGATTGATCTTTTGAAGAGCTGTTAGCCTTTAACACTGCCTTTTCTGCCTTGGCTTTCTCCGTGGCACAGGCCTTCGCTACCGGGCTCATTGGCTTTTCCATCAGGACTGGATTTGGCAGCGGCCATTGAAGCTGGCTTGGAGACTTTGGGAAGGGGAAGCACAAAGTCTTGATCAGCATGCAAGATGAAGTCGGATGTCACAGTCCACCACCGCTTTTCGCCGTCAGAGAGACGGTAACATGAAATACATCCACCTCCTCAAGTGCATCTCATCCGAATCTCAGCAGTCCTCTGCCTGGCATCAGCTGATTCTTCCGGCCCTGTCAGGTCAGCATTTGGCGGCTATGCTTTCAGCCAATCTCCTCGACCACATCAAGAGACCGCCCAGAAAACGCAAAGAGCTCTTGATGCAATGAGCCTTCCCTTTTCAGATACATCAGTGTAAGAAGCTCTTTGATCAATGAATCCTTTGAGCGAATAAACAGCGTCCCAATACATGTCGCACAACCCACAGTGGGCAGCCCTTGGCGCGAACAGACAGATGCAAGGCTTCCCAGAAGCAAAGAAGGGGCACAGAAGAGCTTGGAAACGGTTGTAACCACGTTGAATAAGCAGATGTTGACTGAGATACTGTGCAAGCATGAGAGCCTGGGCTTCTTTGTTTCCAAGGACTACTGCATACGGAATTTGTTTGGTATAGCATCAACGGAAAACCGATGGGCCTCAAACCTTTACAGTCCCCCGGTGGAGGAGGATGCAACCACTGTGCAACATGCCCAATGAGTAGGATGTTTGAGAGAGGGTACACTGGTATGAGGTCATGATGAGCAAGTCCAGGGGAGTACACTGGTGTTTAGGATGTGGGCATTCAGTTTTACACAAGCAGAAAACATCTTGAGAGAGTGCACAGTCAATACTGGGTCAGTGAAAGACACTCATGTCATGGTAATGAGGTGATGGCAAGAGTAAAGAGGGAGGAAAGCGCGCACGGACAGAGTTGATGTTGTCTCTATTGCGACCCAGCCTAACGATCTTGGGTTGGTGCAGGATATATTCGCCACCATCCTCCCACCTCTCCGGTCTACACTTGTTGCAATTCTACGTCTAAAGTCAACTTCCTTGGACCCATCCATGACTTGATTGTTATTCATAAAGAAGTAATGCACCACTCATTTATCAGTTCAGTTCGTTTACCTCAAGTAGGCTTTCCAATCCAGGCCATTAGGAGGGTGATTCTCCTCCGCTTCTGGGCATTAAGCGAGGCTCAGAGTCTCTACCTCTATATTCCATTCTCCCAAATTTTGAAGGTTGTTCTTCAGTCGATGTCACCTCGTACCGTCCGCTGGCCTGCTACCTTGGAAGGCCCCGCGCTGTGTCCTATTGTCCTGCAGGATGAACCAATTCATCAAGCATACGCCTACAAACGATGTCTATAGATGATATGGAAAAGCTGCAGTGTGATGAAGTCAATATCTTGGTCAGCTATATCCAAGACCTGATGTCTGGTGCAAGCTGGTGGTTCTTGTCAAATTCTCTCAAAGTATCTCATTCAAGTGCACCAAGAAAGATACTAGCTCTAAACCTCCATATACTGCATTTGCTCGTGACTGGAAACTGCACTGACTTTTACAACAACTTACCTTGGCATAGTATGTGTCCGAAAAATGCATTATCATCTTCGGAGATAAAATGTCTCTATCACCTAACACTTCTTTCTATTCACCAATCCACGCAAGACCGACTTATCTCACAGATAGCAGACATCAAGCCCACTTGCAATACCAAACACCACCATGCCACTCCTTCAAACCTTCCTCACCGCTCTTACACTCCTTCCGTCCATTTCCCTGGCTGTGGCTCCTGCCCAAGTTCCACAATATGGAAAAGGCCTTGGGTTCATTAGCAACCTCGACAACCTCTACCCTCAACCCACCGGCGACTGGCTCACATCAACGTTATGCTACTGCCATTCACCCATCCACGCCAAAGAGAAGTGGCAGTACGAGAAAGCCCATATCTTCCAACACGAATACTACAACTACCACTCCAACGCCACATTTATTGTCGATCACATGTGCCTATCTCGGGCGCACACGGAAGGAGATCAATGCAACAGACCTAACGTTGGTGGGGACAATAACGATTGGCTCATGCAGAAGCGCTACGTATGCAAGGATTTTCCGCGGACAGAGGAGGAAAAGGTACGGCAAGCGAATTCGAAGCGGAGTACCAGGAGAGGGAAGCGAGCGGAGCCCATCGCCCAGCACATGGTTAGTTGCGTGCAAGACTGCGATCCTGGGGCATACGCTCCTGATGCGCCAGATCCGTCTCCTCACCCCAAATTTGACAGAGTATGCTTTGGTGTGGACACGGATTTTTACGGCATGGACGAGATGGAGTTGAAGTTCAATAGGCAGCATCGGAAGATGGAGTCGCCAGGCCAGCAAGGCAGGGTGCAGACAGAGTTTGAGGAGGTGCAGGGGTATTGCGAGGACATGTGCCAGAGCATGTTTAAGATGCCGGTGGACATGAAGATCAACGACAAAAGGGCGGGAGGTGGAAGTCGGCAATTTCTGTACACATCGCTGGATGATATGTGTGACCATTGCAAGTGAGATGGTCGGAAGGTTCCGAATGCCTTTTCGCTTTCTCTGTGATCCATTATTGGGGCACTCGGCGTTGGTCTGCTTGTTTCGAGGAGTTCGTCCGGAGTGATTCGGTGGTTTCCTTGCATTATCGGCGCTGTGCATGATTGATTTAAGGAAGGAGAGATGGTTTCGACAAGCCTCGGCTCAGGATCTTGAATCCAAAAGGGGTTAGGCTAGAGTAATCTTAGACAAAGGACAATCCAATCATTTCTTCTCCATCACTCACACTCATCAGAATCTGTGCAAATCATCCAACCATTTACCGTCAAGCTGTCAACACGCGGAGATAAACACTCCCTCGAGAAGTTGCATCAACACAGCTCCCATGATTGGCTGCTTGCATCTGCATTCTGATGGTCAAAGCTTCGACGGCCAACATTAGTGGGGGCGATAAAAGATGGTAGGGTGTATTCATGAGTATGTACATGACTCGCAGGTAAGAAGAAACCAACATAACGGATGAGCGCTTTCTGCCGTTCAAGGTGCCTGGGAATGTCTCAGCCATACATTATAAGCAGTACTGGCGGAGATTATACTCATGAGTGGTGTCAATCTGGAATCCTTGGTGGAGGATTTTAACGCCAGGGGAAGGTGGTATTTGGGACTTCAGCCGTGTCTCACGTTTCGCCGGCTCGCTCCTCTTCCCAATCAACACTTATTACAAGGTATATACAACATTAAGACTCGCCCTCAACTCGTTCCGCTCTAGGTAGCATCTAATGATTTTGGATCTCATCGGAACCTCGGCCTGACTTGGACAGAGTTTCTCGATCTCTGCCTCTTACTCGGTCTTTTACATGTATAATACCTATGTCTGATCGGCCAGCAGTCCTCGGCACCATAAAAACCTCGCCGGCTTGGTTGTCTGTATTTGGGATGTTCAATGGATGCTACATGCACAATATGCAATTCAGGAAGCTTTCTTGCTTGCCTATCTGTGCCGCATCCTTGTTTGTCAGACCCATGGCCGCTGCTGCTTCGGCACCCTTGCGCCGCACCTCTCCGTTGAGTCCCGTTCCGATTCTCCTTCTCATTGGTCTGAACCGTCACCATGCATGATGGATATCGTAAACATCAGGGGTTAAAGTTTTATATCCTACCGGGCGGCGGTAAGCTAGGGCCTGGTACCCGTCCTCATCAAGTGTGGGATGCTGTCCATCGTCCATCGCTAGCTCATATATTCAGGGAGATAGGAGTATACTACTTACCACTACGAGATTGCGGCGGCAGCTAGAACATTCTCACGACTCAAAGATTTCATCATCGTGAAGGATCTCTCGGGATCTGGTCAAGACCCTTAATCTCCCCTCTCAAGAAACGGCAGGCGCTTACGTCGGCCTTCCTGTTGGAGGTGTGCAAAATGACGGATGCTCGGCGATGCTCTATCAATGTACATGCTCTTCCAGTACTGCATGGCAAGCTCGTCTTACACGCTTCCCACACTCTTTGAAGCATCCTGCTGTCTTGCTGGATCACCCTCTTTACCTGCAACTGTCCCCCTTCTTCGTGAGGACTTGATTCTCGAACAACCCTTCTGTCCCCTATTCTTCAACAACACCGACCTCACTCCCGCCTAATCATGCTCTACCACATCAACAGACTGGCTTGTTTGGCTACATCTCTAGCCCTACTTACTTTTGCAAATGCCCAATTTGTGACTACAAACGGGCTACAATTTGAGCTGAATGGGAAACCATACTCGTTTGCGGGTGCCAATTCATGGACTCGTAAGGCATTTCATGCCCGACCACAAGGCTCTACTGACTCGTCTTACAGTTGGTGCTACAGATCAAGGCTTCATCCCCGATGCCATCAGAGCGGCTCAGAATATAGGATACACAGTGATCAGGTTGGGCTTCCAGACATTGGTACCAATTCCCCACTGACAAGCTTTTCAGGGTTGGAGCATGGATCATGAAAGATCCGTCCAACAATCTTCTAGGGAGTTGGGGCAGCGATGGCGAAGTCTGGTACCAGTTGTGGGAGAACGGCCAGCCGAGTATCAACACAGGCGCCAACGGTCTAGCATTGTTAGATAGTGCTGTTCAACAGGCCGAGGCCGCTGGTATCCAGCTCATCATGTGCTTGATCAAGTGCGTCCTTTTGCCTGAGGGTTCGATACCGTCAAAGCTGACACTGTCACAGCGAGTGGCCAAACTATGGAGGTCAGATCGACTATGTCAACAACTTACTAGGTGATGGACAGTCGCAGGCAGAATTCTACACCAACCCAACCGTCGTCAACGCCTTCAAAAACTATGTGAGCGACATCGTGACAAGATATCAAGACTCTCCAGCAATTTTCGCATGGGAGCTTGCCAATGAGGTATGATATGTCTGGTCGTCCAACTTCTCCGCCACAGACTGACCAAATTCCAGGCTCGATGCGAAGAACCCGAGTGCAACGGCAGCCAAGTCCTGACCACTTGGGCCGACCAAATCAGCCAGTACATCAAATCCATCGACCCCAACCATCTGGTCACCTTTGGCGGGTACGGCTTCTTCAACGACGGGGCCGGAGCTCACAATTGGGATTTCAACTACGACGGCGCTTCCGGAGAAGATTTCGCCGCCATCCTTGACCTCCAGAACATCGACTTCGGCACCTTTCATCTCTACACTGACGACAACGGGTAAGTCGTCTCCGTCCTTCGCCCCCCAACCCCCCTTTTGTGTTTGGCCATGTTCAAGCTAACAACCTCGCTCCTACCTACTGCAGAGCCACCGGACCAGACTACGGCCTCCAATGGCTCAAAGATCACAATGACGCCTGCGCAGCAGCGAACAAACCCTGCGTTTTAGAAGAGCTCGGCGTGAACCGAAACAATCTCGACGTGCAAAGTGTCATGACGCAGTACCAAACGTACATTCTCTCCAGCGAAGCCGAAGCTATCCAAGGCAGTATGGACTGGTCGAGCTTCTATGTCGATGCAGCATGCCCCAGTCCCTCAGACCCGTACGCGATATGCGCTTCGGATCCGTTCTATGGTCAGGTTGTGACGGACTTTGCACCGTCCATGGCGGCGAAGGCATGACGGCTGTACTGAACGATGTCATTCTTTGCGGTGGCGAGGAGAAGCCTGTCATTCGACTCCATGTACATATTTCCCCTTTTCTCTTCTTGCTCCTTCGATATGGTTACGACCCGCTGCTGAGCAGCGCGACGAAAATAATACTTACAGACCCGTTGCATCTTCGAACCTTGCTGCTTTACCAACGACACTTCAGAACGCTGAATCAGATATCAAACGACTGTCGACGCAGCGCGTATATCGACATTCTCGCGCCTCACCGAGCGATGCCATGTCGCTGGGGAAGAAGTGCATTCAGCCACCAACACGCGGTCTACCCGTTTCTCAAGACGGTGACGCAAGAAAGCATTGGGCTCGGTGCCCGCATACGCCATTTCATCCTTTCCATCTCGCTTGCTTCTTCACATTCTTCAGCCCGTTTCCCAAACCCCGTGCCCCAACTGCATCCATTCCATCAAAACGCCTCAATGCATCCCCTTCCCAAGCCAGCCATCATCTCCCTCCTAACCTCCCTCGTCACAGCCAGCGTCCAGAACGACTCCTCTCCCCCCGATCCGCTCCTCCTCCTCCCATCAAACTCCACCGCGACGCCACCAAACTCCTCACCCGCGGACCCACGGTACCCGTCCGCCACCTCCATCCCCGCAAACCCCACCGACAACACCACCCTCAACGCCTCCTCCCCGCGCGCCCCCAGAATCATCCGCTCCGGCCGCAACCTCCGCCTCGCCAGCTGCCTTCGCCGCCCACGACCGCATGGACGGCACCTCCGCGCCCAAAACCTACGGGGAAGCGCGACCCCGACGCTCCCCGGGCTCGCCCGCTGGGACGCCAACCTCCCGCTCCGCATCCTCGGCCGTTCGTCCTCCCCCTCCTTCCCTTTCCCTTTCCCTTTCCCCTTTCCTTTCCCTTTCCCTTTCCCCCCCTTTCCCTTTCCTTTCCCCAACCGACTAACCCCCCCCCCCTCCCACGCAGCCGACGCCCTCTGCGCGCTCGACATAACGCACTCGCCGCGGCGCCCCCTCCGACACCATCGCGCCCTCGCAGCCGAAAGTCGCACGCGCGGGCCCTCGTCGCCGTCTGCGCGCCCTCGCTCGGCGGCGTCGTCGGCGACCTCGCCGCGGGTGGCAAGCGCGGGGCCCGGGACGGCGCCGCCGTGGACGGGGTGCCGAGAGCTGGTGGACCACGATGCCGGCGCGGGGGGGAGCGGTTCGGGCCGGCGGGGGACGTGCTGAGTCGGGTCGTGGTGCCGTGGAGGCGGAGGACGGGGGAGGGGAGGTGTGAGATTGTGGGTTTTGGGGGTTTTGGGATTTTTTTGTTGTTGGGGTTTTTTTTTGCTTCTTTCCCCCCTCTCTCGTTTGGGTTGGTGCGGGGATGGGGCGGAGGAGAAGGAGAAGAAGAAGAAGAAGAAGAAGAAGACGAAGAAGAAGAAGAATAAGACGAAAAAGACGAAGAAGCAAAAAGACGAAGAAGACGAAGAAGAAGAAGAAGAAGAAGAAGAAGAAGAAGAAGAAGAAGAAGAAGAAGAAGAAGAAGAAGAAGAAGAAGAAGAAGAAGAAGAAGAAGAAGAAGAAGAAGAAGAAGAAGAAGAAGAATGAGAAGAAGAAGAAGAAGAATAAGAAGAAGAAGAAGAAGAATAAGGAATAGCTAACAGTATCAATATATATCGCCCAGACAATCGCCACGCTATCCACGGTATCCGTGAGCGATTTTTCCAAACTGTGGGCGGCGTGGATACTCTATGCATCATCAAAACTCAAGCCATCACGTCCCCGCTTTTCCTTTTTCCTTTCCTTTCCTTTCCTTTCCTTTCCTTTCCTTTCCTTTCCTTTCCTTTCCTTTCTTTCTTTCCCCTTTCCTTTCCTTTCCTTTCCTCCCCTTCTTTCCTTTCCTTTCCTTTTCCTTTCCTTTCCTTTCCTTTTCCTTTCCTTTCCTTTCCTTTCCTTTCCTTTCCTCTCCTTTCCTTTCCTTTCCTTTCCTTTCCTTTCCTTTCCTTTCCTTTCCTTTCCTTATCCCCATTGCCTGTGTGTGGGCTTGTACGCTAATCGTGTCGTTGAGCTCCAGGATTTGGCACTCGGAGGCCGGGACGCTCAACGCATCATCGACTGGGGTTTTGGAAGAGCGGGATGGGACGGCGTCGTGATGGCGTGAGTGTTTGAGGAAGGGGGATCCATGACCGTGCGACAGGGGTTGGCTTCTTGTGGTTGTGTTTGGGAAAGGAAGGGTGATGGGGATGAGAGGAAGGGGGATGATTTCGAAGCGCACAGGTTGATACATGTAGTGAAGGCAATGGTATGCTCGTGGGAAGATCGCTATGATCGAGCGCTCAAAATCATATGCCTGGATGAGACCGACCAGATTCATGTTCGTTAAACCTATTCAATGCTTAATGTTATCATCCATGTCCAATACCATGCTCTCCGTATGCTCCAAGCGCCAAGCGGTCGCTTTGGATTTCCACCTCACATCACATCACCTCCACCTCCCAGATTTGCTACCCACATTACTTCGTCCCTCCTCCTCTTCTTCTTCTTCTTCCTCCTCCACCGGCGCTGGTGTCCTCCTCTCCGTTCGCCTCTTGTGCCTCCTACGCCTGCTCGAACTGACGTTTGACGCCGAGTCATCAGGTGCGATTTCCGACATTCCATCGTCAATCCCATCGTCCGTCTCACTCTCCCATGCCTTGTGCCCTTCAATGTTACTAGCCGGAGTGCCCATCATCGAATCTATATCGAAGATCCCCCTCCTTCTTTGGTTCGCTTGAGCGAGGCCTGCCCCGCGCTCCCGAAGAGCCTGACGGACAGCTTCGGCCTTGTAGTGTAGAGCTTCGAATGCGTGCTCAAGATGGTCCATCGAGGAAAAGATCTCGCGCTCGACTTCGGCCAGGACGGCAATTTCGGTTTCTTCGTCGAGAGCAACGGGGGCACCGGCAGTTGCAGGAGCGGGAGTTGGACCGCGAGAGAAAGGTGTGGGACCTCTGGAGGGCGGCATTGAAGGGGTGGTCATGCGAGGTGCTGGGTAGGAAGCTCGGGATGCACCGCGGGAAGGAGGTGGAGCAGGAGCAGTAGTGATGGGGTGATCGTCGGCGCCGCTTCGGAGAAAGCCGTCGAAGCGGCCAGAAGTGAGAATGTCCCATTCAGGGTCACTGATGGCAGCTAGGGTGGCGAGGACGTTATGTATGACTGGATTGTTCAAGAGGTACATTGCGGATTCGGGATCTCGTGGAGGTTTCGACAAGCGATAGAGACGTTGAATGGCAAGCCCAGTCTTCTGCGATAACACTGACTCGGGACTGGCTGATACTGCTTCTGTCGCAGATGGGGCTGTTGAAGGTGGTCTGCTTGGCTGCACTCCAGCCAAAGACGAGAAAATATGTCGTTGCTCGGGCTCTAGGCGAGTCAGCATAGCGAATGTCAATGTTTCATCGTCGACATCTTGGGGAGGACTAGATGGTTGTTGTGGTTGACTGTCAAGCCATCGGTCCACAGTCATCTTAGTCTTCTTTGACTGTCGAATGTAATGCTCTCGGAATTCGTCGGGAACATCCATATCCAACTTCTGCATTGGTGGAACGTGGTCAGCAGAAGAGATGCCCAGACCAGCTTGTGTAGAGTCCATCACGAAAGCAGGCCATTGTGGTAGTTCCTGCCTTCCGCATACGTACTCCAAGATTTCGCCCCAGCTAACACCTCGCTTGTCCTCAACTTCGGCCTCAGGGAGTGGGGACATCTGACATAACATGCATGTGCAGGTCTCCGATGAGATATCTCTTGCAAAGACAGCCTCTAGCCGATCAAGGAGCCGACGAGCAACAGAGCGATATCCGGTAGCCACAGCTAAGGATCCACTGCGGGATATGACTTTGGTATAGTCCTCTAGTATTTTGCTTAGAGGACCAAAGAACTTCTCGGCCTGCGCAGCTACTGTAGAAATTGGAAGGGGTGCCTGCGTAGGTAGCCCGGCACCTAGAAGACTTCTGGGCACACTTTGCGGCAAACCTCCATTTTGCATCAGATAGTCAACTCTTGGCATTGGGAGTTCAAGAGCTGGCGGGGGCGGTGGTGGCATTGGCGATTCTCCCAATGCACTCGCGATCCCATAATCGTTGAGCGTGGAGAGAGCAGGCGTTTCCTTCCGACTAGGCGGGAATCGCGGCTCCGCGAGTGTCGGCGTCCTAGGTGAGGAGTCGGGGTCGGTGGCTGGAGATGAATCACGTTCTGCGAGGGGCGTGATTGATCGTTGTACTTTCGTTTGATTTGGGGCGATTGATGTTGCGTCGGAGTTGTTGGTCGAGCCCTTGCTTATCTCGCTCTTGACGACTGATGACTGAGTGGACGATGCTGACCGACGGAGGCTCGTGGCTGATGCCGAGTCTTCGACTGTCGCAACCTTTGGTCTGAGCTTCGAAGGTGTGTCAGGCTTTGAGGTCCTCGCAGACCTTGCAGGTTTGTCCTCCTCTTGTCCAGAATCCCGAATGCTGGTCCTTGATCTGGAAGGATGTGGTGACCGGTCCTTTTCTCGGTCACTGGCGCTTGATCCGGGTCGCCCAAGCTTCCTCTTCAAGTCATCCGCATGCTTTTGTAGATCTGTACCCTTACGCTCCTTCTTGACAGTGTCCCCCTTGACCTTCTCCATCGTGACCTTCTGATCCATCGTTGTCTCCGGCGGACTTGGAGGCGCCCGATGTGGAGGAGGCATGTTTGTAGTATCTTTGAGTTTCGCTTCACCTCCCGAACCCTTCCCTCGGTCCAGGTCGGTAGGATCTGGGGTATAGTAGCTCATCCTGGGTTGGACAACATTTTCCCTGCTCCCAACCGCCTCCTTACTATGTGCCTTGGAGAATGATGGGTATGCTAAGCTTGTCTTACTTGCAAGGGCCGACTCTGTTGTGGGGCGTTTATCCAATCCTGGTACCGGCATTGATGCTCTCCGTGGCTTGGGAGCTGGTGAGGTGTTGGTAGACCTGCGCTCTGGCGGGGTAGAAGCTTTGTCGCTTTTGCGGGTTGATCGTTTCGACTTGTGTCTCGACTTTTCCTTTGATCTCGGTGTATCTGGATCCCTCTCCCTTTCTTTGTCTCTTAGTTTCGAAGGCATAGTGAGAGATGGAGAGAGGTGCGAAGAATTGGACGATGGGCTAGTTAAGCTCTAGGGCGGGGTGGAATGGTGTCAGAATTGAGAGAGATATAGATGTGTGGTGGCGGATGCGGTTGGTTGCATTGTCTCACATATTTCTTGGCTGCTCAAGTAGGTGCTGCTGGCGGCGCATGGGAATGGGAAGAGGAACGAATGAGACGAGATATGCAGGTGGTTCCAAGAGGGCGAAGAGCCAGTGAATTTTGCACAGTCAATGGTTATAGGGTAGTATGAATAAATGTAGCATGTAGCCAAAGGTCAGCCGATGGAAAGGATGGGTTCATGAGTTGCAGCTGTTACTGGACCAATCAAAGTCAAGTATTCTCGGTTGATGTTCTCGACTGTTGACGGCCAGCTCATGGCGCTACTCGTAGGCTTGGCATTTAGCGTAAATCCCTGCCCTGCCCATCCGCTTTAGCGCTATGCACCTCCACCCAATCTCACCCAACATCTCACACACACTCTCTTTTGTTTCTCTCTCTCTCTACTCCGTACTTATACATTGATCAATCTTCAATCACTGCTGTAGCAATTCATACCAAAGTAAGTCATGATGATTGAGGTCAAGTACTGTAATACAATACAATACAAGCAAAGACTGAGATGATTGCCGAAGTATCAAGCCATTAGCTCAGGGCAATATAGCTGAGCGGTTCATATCTACTACAGAGCCCGGGCAAGAATCGAAGCCGAGGATCGAGCCAGTCCAGAGCATTCAGCACAGACTCCAACAGAAAATGAGTCCGTGAAAGCCTGGCAATACAACATAGATAGACCATACACCATCATTTTCGCCAACAGTACGCTGTCTTGCGACATGAAGCGAAAAGCGAAAAGTCACGGAACTTCACTTTCCTCCGGATCATTGCGCATTGACACACAGCAGGCTCTGGAAAGCTGTAGTCACGAGTTCAAGCCCAAACTTCGTCATATCATGTCTTAGTATCATGTCTTAACCTTTCCATAATAGCGGCATTTCCATTGAGCAGCAAGTCTCAGAATGAAACAATATCTTTAATCCGCATTTTTGAAATCATTCTTAGTTAATCTGTACATGTTCAAACACATCTACCCTTTACCCCCCCCTTAACCCTCCGTGCTACAACAACTGACAGCCGTACACCCGAAGCTCCCCTCCAAACACGATGCGGCCGTCAAGTTCCTCCCCTCCGAAGCCAACAGCACCCGCAAGAACCCAGCGACTGATCTCAAAAGGTTCTCGATAAGCTACACGACACCACAGAGCTCCAGCATATCTCCCAAGCCCCCAAAATCGAACGACCGCAGAAAAACGTCAGCGACGCAGCCATGACCAAAGAGCACCGAGGCCCCAAATCGCTCCAAGTAGCCGAACCCAAGACCCTGCTCCACGCAGCCGGCCAGTCCGTGTCCGGCAACAAAGCAGAGCTGTTAGATCGTTGAATTGGAGTAGACGACGACGATTACTCCTCCATAGACGAAGATGGCAACCGACTCCCGTCCCGACATGACCCCCCAGTATCTCCCACCCACTCCGCACCATCCCCTTTGACGGCAAAGGACTCGACCCCGCCTCCTCCGTCGGGCACCGCATCCGACGCTTCCAAGTCAGCGCGGACCCAGGCTCCGTCTTGCCCACCGACCCAGTCCCCGTCACCATCACGATCCCGGGAGGAGTCGCGTTCTCCAGACACGTAGACATTGCGGCCAACACAGCATTTGCTGGCGGGACTCGAGTCCGTCGAGCAAGTGACCGAGACGTCATACCTTAGGGACGAGGAGATGACGCGTGCGGAGCGCGAGAACGCAGGAGAAGAAAGCGCGGAGGTATGCTGACCGTAGACGCGGCGGTCGTCGGCTAGAGGGAAGGGTCCGGACGTCGGGGAGAACCAGGTCGTGAGGATCCGGTGCGAGGGGATGCGGCAGATGGGGGTTCCGTGTTCGCGGGGGATGACGTGCGGGATGTTTGGTTTGCTACGGGCGGGGCGCCCAGGTGCGGGGATGTGATGTGGCCGTGGCTTGGACTGGGAGAGGGGGTTCGGAAGCCGGAATGGGGAGCGGTGTCGGTGAGTATCCGATACGGACGGAACGGTAGCATCATGTGCCGGCAAAGCACAGCATACATAAGTAGCTCATCAGAAGCTCTCTCGCACGAATGACTCAGAGCCAAGCTGCCCGGTTCGTGCCCCCAAACTTTTTTTCAACAGCGAGACCAGAGACCCAACCTATCATCCATCAACCGTAAAAGAGTCTACCCACATTCACCATTCACCACCCCCCAGCGCCAAAATCCAGCACCTTTCCCTTCCCCCCCATCCCCAGCCCCCAACACCGCTCATTCCCAGTGCCCCAACCGCCCCGATCCATCCCCACACCCCCAATCGCAACCCCTACCTCTCAGCCACAAGCACGGACCTCGAAGTCCTCCGATCCTTCCCATACCCACAGCGATTCCACCTTCATCCTCGATTGCCCAATCCGATTCATCCAGCGCGACATTGCAGCGTTCGTTGTCGCATCTCATCACTTGCGGTCTAGGACCGGGGGGGTGGTGGTGGGGCTGGCTCTTTTGAGGAGGAGGGGGAGGAACCCATGGTGTCTACGTTGGGCCGTTGTATGATCGGATGTGGGTTCCTTGACGTCTTTGGCTGTGGTGCGTGTGTTGGCGGAGACGTTGGGTTTCTGTGAGTCGGACGCGTGGGTCAGGAGTGAGAGAAAAGGCATTGTTTTGGGTGAGAGAGATAGCGAAGGATCTTACCTCTCGGATGTTCTATATGGGAATGATGGCGGTGGATGCGAGATAAAGGGGAGGAATGCGTAGCGCATTGCCATCTATAAAAAGGGGCAAAACGGTTGCGATAATGCAGTAAAGATTCCAGAGATTTGGATAACAAAGGCCAAATTTGGAACAAGAACCAGGTGGCGAAAGCTTGTTTGCGAGACAATGAAAGTTTATCAGAGCGTGATGAAGCAACGATAATAATGAACCTATGCCGCGGTCGTAGGTTTCTAGCCAAAGAGATATTATTCTCGAGGGGATCAAGACGCCTCGCCATCTTGATATGCCTGCCTGAAAGGCTTGAAATCTGGTTTGAGATACGGCTACTAGGTTTTCCTCGGCGAGCTCAAGCAGTGAGGCCTGCAGAGTCATGCTGCCGTGGCTCACCGGCTGCTTCAAAGTGCCCGTTGGTGATCCCGATCGCCTGCGACGATGACCCAGCAGGACCCCATGTGACATTATGACTTCTTCCAATCATGTAATCTATAGTCGAGTTGTCATAATCCCACTCGAACGTTACTTGATTGGGTAGCAGTTGGTCATGCAGTCGTGGCTGCTTCAGTGCTTGATGCACTGTCATCTTCCGCTCAAGGATATTGAGCGCAGTTTGGATGACGGTGGTGATGATACGTGATCCACCTGAAGCGCCAAGGATCGCAAACAAAGTGCCATTGGCGGATTCGGCCATGATGGGTGTGATGGATGACATTGATCGTTTGTTCGGCCGGACATAGTTGGCTGGAGAAGGATAGTACCCAAAGACGTTGGAGATATTGGGAACAGAGAAGTCTGCCATTTGATCGTTCATTATGACTCCTGTCTCTGGTACCATTACCCCAGAGCCAAAGAAGAGGTTGACAGTGGTGGTCATGGAGATGGCCATCCCAGATGCGTCCGCAGTGGCAATATGGGAAGTACCATGGTTCTCATGGCTCTCGAAGCCATCCGGATCATAATCTGAGACATTGAGCGTGTGTCTGTCGGATATTCTGGCCCTGATTTCATCGGCGGAAGTCTGGTCGAGCATTCCGGCTTCGTAGGCGGTAATACCATCCACGAAGTCCGGATCTCCTAAGCTCGCTCTCTTTCCGTATCCAAATCTTATAGCTTCATCCAATCTGTGGGTGCTCAGATTCATCGTGTGTCTCTGTCCAAAATCTTCATATCCCTCTAGGACCTTCATCACGCTCAAAGCTACTGCACCTGAAGCAGGTGCACCGCATCCATGGAGACGAAAGCCTTTGTATTCGATCTGTACTGGCGTCCTCGATATTATTCTGTATTTTGCCAGGTCTTCCATGGTCATTGATCCATTGGTTTCATGTAACGCACGGATCGTAGCCTCTGCCAATTGGCCTTCATAAAAGGCATCTGGTCCTGATACCGCGATGGCCTCCAATGTACGTGCATAGCGCTTGCGGGTCATAACATCTCCTGCCTCGACTCTTGTGCCATTCGGAGCAAAGTCTTCCGCCCATGTCGGCTCTTTGCTGAGGAAGTCGTAGCCATAGTATGCAGTGGTAAGTGCCATCGCTTTTGCAAAGTCTCTGCCGACAATGAATCCATCCCGTGCAAGATTGATGGCCGGCTGAACCAGCGTAGACCAGGGAAGGAAGCCATGGTTTTCATGGATATAGTGAAGGCCTTTGATCTCGCCGGGGACTCCACTGCAATACCTTAGCCACAGAACTGAAGTATTAGCGGTGTCAAAATACCTTGCTAAACCACCAAAGACCGATCCAAGGACATTGTTCTTATACATATCTCGGAAAGCTGCGGCAGGCGCGGTCTCTCGAAAGTCGACGGACTCATAGCTGCCATTCGCCGATCGAACAAGGGCGAAGCCACCTCCTCCTAGTCCGCTATGATGGCAATCTGGCTACATTCAGCTCCGCCGCACTGTTTCGGGGGAGGGGTTGCTGACCAACCACGCCAATGCACAGAGTGGTTCCTACAAGCTGTCCCGACCGTCAGCTATGCCAGCGGAAAAGAAGATTCACCACTTACAGCGTCAGCAGCATTGCCGCCAGCCTTCAGCAAATCAATGCCTATCTGGCTGCAAACTCTGTTCTCAGAGGCGACAGCGCCGAGTCGGTCATGCTTTGTTTGTTGAGCTTGAAGGTCAAGTAAAGCCTGAGGCGGCGCGAAGCCTGCACACGAGAGACTGAGAAGGGAACATATCGAGGTGATATACCCAATCCTCCGCCAAGTGCAACGAGTCATTTCATACAGGGAAGTTGTATAGAAAAACACAACCTAGGAGCGCAGAGCGATAAGACAGCCCTTGTGGTAAGGCTGAGACGCGTCTACCTTATCAAGCGCGCGTCACCCGAAATGTTCAAAAATAGAGTACCAATTCGCTCCAGGGCTCCGAACTCATTATCAAAACATTGGTCTTTCTCACATCTCCGGTCGAAATAGGATATGTCTGTTCTGCAGCGACGCTGCAAGGGAAGCCGCTATGATTCGTCGTTCCCAGCTGCGTAATGGCTCTATAGGGATTACCTATGCTGGCATGTATCATTGCAGATATCGCTCTCGCCCGCGTATGAATGAGGGGGTTGTCTAGCTGCAAAACATGATGGAGAAGGGCGGAAGCGTCTACCATTACGCTCACAGTCACAGTAGCAGGTACCTTTAATCATCAGAGCAGCACTCTGAGTTTGTGTTACTCTGTTCTACTCTACCGTCCTACCACGAGCGTCACCCCACCAATATCGAACATGATCGAGAATCGATGAAACGGCTACAGAATGAGGAGGCAGAACACTACACGGGCGGAGATACCGGAAGGGGGCCAAAGCGTTGACGGCGAGAGTGGCTATCGTGCGCGACTCTCCGTCTTGGGCCCCGGGGCTTCAAAGTTTCGTCTGATATCGACGCATATCCATATTGTCAAATGTCCGCCGAGATCTGGCATCTTTCAAGTTTCAGCACGGCGTGACCCATCTCACTTGGACATCGTCATCAATTGTATGCTCGCAGTTAAAGCATCCCACATTTGATGACCGAAGCTGCCATTTGCAATGCTCGTCTCCTTGTACCGTTTGGCCTTCTAACGAGAACCTGCTTTCTGTGTCCGCAAGAGGCAGCCGTTAATTGAGCCTGATCGCCCGCCTTTTCGTGCCAGCAGGTCGCTTTTACCTTGTATTTCCAGCATCATCAAAGTAGGGTGACAATTGGCTCTAGATTTACGTCTGTATCTTATTGGCCAAGGCATGTGGCTACACTGTGGTGCTTGTCATGCGATGTTCAAATGGTCATTTGCTCTCTGGACTGACGCCTTGCTCTAGGTAAGAGGGATGACACCTTTCTGACTATGACTGCGAAGGATATAATTAGATTGCTGAGTCACGCTCCGCAGGAAGCCTCTGCATGAAAGATCAGTATACACAGAGCGGTCAGCGATGCTACCAGATTCGCTTTTACCTTTGAGAATCAGCATTGCAGCGACGACGAGTTCTGTAGTTAAGGCACAAAAGAATTGAACTCGATCGAGTTTACGGATCTGCATAATCTATCCAGTCATGGTGAATAAGCCTGTGTCGCACGGAGAACCCCCAACAGTCACAATGGAATGAGCGCGCCCCTCCACCGACTGTCATCTGCCGAGCTGCAGGTTTCCCATCATTGAAGATACGTTGATAGGATGTGCTGAAGCAGGAGAAGCTGGCACCCCCACTTGCCCGGCGCTTGTTCCAGCAGGTTTGACTTCTTTGTCCTTGAACCATCGGGCTCCTCTTAGCGCATTCTTCTGTATTTGCCAAACAGGTTCCCCTAACTCAATCAGCCGTTCACCAAAGCTCGCAAGAAGACCCGACACTTCCTCCTCTTGCACGTGCTCCTCAACGAAGTCTGGGGGATTTTGACAATCTTCGTCCGTGGAAACTGGAAACGTTGCGTTCTTCCAAGCCGCTTTCCACTCATTGATAGCAGCCAATGCTTCTGGATGATGAGGCTGCACGTTCTTAGCGATGAGGTAGAACGAGCCTCTTGTTTTGTGACTTGTGACTGGCTTGAACAATTCAATCTGGGAGATTGCATCGAACAGGCTGAGTAATTTCATCGTCCTCCACAGCTCGACTTTGTGAAGCAGCACGATGAAAGTCCCGCCAGGCTTGATACGCTGCATTGCCAGTATGAGTTGACTACACGACAACCGTCCAGCCTCGCGGCGTTGACGATAACTTGCGATATGCGGTGCGTGTGTACGCAAGACCTGGCCATCGCAGAACACAAGGTCGAATGATTTCGTAGCCCAAGGTCGTTCGAGGGAGAAGTTCAAGACGTCCGGATGACCCTCTGGGATATCTGTTACGCCATATTCCGCTGTTAGCATTGTGATGTCGGCCAACTGGACATCGACGCGTGGATCAATGCGGCCGTTGGGTATCAGTAGTTGATGGCCACCGAGAGACTCGGGCAGTGTTATACCGGAGACACACGCATGCGGAGAGTATTTCAGCGCCGATGCGCTATAGCCGCCCGGGGCCATGCAAATATCAAGGACTTCTGCATGGGGTCCGGGAAGACTTAGAGCCCCAGAGGCCGCTTGAAGCTCGTCTCCAATCCGCTGCATTAGGTTATAAAAGCCTTTTCGTACCGAGTAGGACGCTTCATCCGCGTCTCGCCGCTGCTTTTGAAAGTGCTTGTCGCCTCGCGGATTGTTCCATCCCTGCCAAATGCTATCAATATCGCCTTTCATGCAGTACGAGAGTTGTGTGCGAGGGGTCTCGGGTCGTGAGCTTACTTACTTCTTCTCTCAGCTCTGCTAGTTCGCGGAATATTCTTGAGTGAGCGATCAGAAAGGTGGATATGAGTCGGTCCGGCGGATCTGACTCTCGAGAGCGTGTATCATTGATCAGTGGCACGGTATTTGCAAGATTATCACCCATGTTTGAGATTTAGAACGCGTAGCTACGACACTGCCGGTGCGTGAACAAGACAGAAGACCGGGACCTATTTCTGAAAATGAGGGGAGCGACTGAGCCCTATAGCCTTGTGAGAAATACAAGTTACCACAATTCTGGAAGTTTCCATGCATATCATGTCCTTGGGCTAATCTCAAGGAAGGCTGCCTACGCTGATCTTACCTCAAGGGCTTTCATGCATTACACCCCTGTTCGATACATGTACACTCCGTCAAATCGATAATGTGTCAGCTATTTTGGCCCAGCAACCTTGACCTGCATTCGAAAATCTTTCACACCGGTGACTGTTGGAGGAGTCGAGTTCGTCCCCTATAGAATCATCTTAAAAACGCAACAACTTTAATACGTATATATCAAACAAGTGTTTCACATCTTTGCATGTGTTCGCTCATTCATGTCCCTGAAGAGTTTGTCACCAATTAGAAAAGTAAAAAGTGTGACATGGCAATCGCAACAATGCATTGCACTCCTCTACAGAGTAATAGAGAAACCTTCACCTAAGTAAGGGCTCATCTGATATGTATCCTCTAAATCTTTCCCAGGGCGCATCTCCTATTCGACTGCCTATTACTCCGATGACCGCAAAGACCAAGTCGACCTGAAGTTGTGTACATGCATGGAGACTGGGTGTACTCCGCACACGTATGAGATGCCAAGTTTCATTGGGGATAGAGAGCTTCTTCGAGTGCTGCCCCTAAGATTCCCGATTCCCGATTGCGTATGAGAGGTTGGATGGATCCGTAGTTTCAGTGATACGTATCAGTTGGAATGATACGATCCCTTGGCGAGGGGAGGAAGAGCGAGTCAAAGCTCTCTTGCCTCAGTCCCTTAGACCTGCCAAGATCGCTAAGCCCCTTCGGGTTAGCCTGCTGACTTCGCAGCTAAACGGCGGCAGGTCTGAGTGCAAAACCCCGTAATCTTACTAGATCCGCGTTATTTTCGCGTACGCCTTATATAAATTTTTGAGTTATATTTTTTCTTTATTAATATCTATCTTCGCGATATAATTATAATTATCTTATAATTATTATAATACATTACGCTATATAAACTAATACTTTTATATATATTCTATTAAATACGCTATTTTAAAATATTATATAACTCGAATATCGCGATATTAATATATATAATTAAAAAATATCTAAATTAGCGTAGAATTTCGACTCTTAGTATAATATCTAATATTATTAATTAACTTTAATTCTTTACTATCGATAGTTAGTATTAATAGTATAATTCTTTAAAAAGTATATTTAATCGTAATATCTAACTCGATTATAGTAATTTAATACTTAAAGTTATTTTATAAATAATCGCGTATTAATTAACGATGAGAATAAATGTTTTCGAGGAATATATAAGTTAAGAGTATATCGAGGGCGTCGTTATAAATTATTTCGAAGTGAAATTAAAGGAGAAGTAATAAGAAACGTTAAGTATATTAATAAATAAGATAAAGAATCTAATTTTAATTACGAAGACGGGATTCGAAAAGAGTATTATCTTTTAATTTATACTACTACTTTTTATATTATTTAAAATAACTTTAATTATTATATCTTTAAATATTTTATTAGATAAGTAATACGCTAAGTTAAGTCGTATATCTAAATATTAATTATTTATTCTAAATAGCGATAGTAATAATTCTATTAATATCGTAGCTATACGCTTTAATTAATTTATATATAATAAGATTAGCGTTAGCTTTATCTTAATAGAAAGCTTACTTATATAGTCTTTATAAATTCGAAAATTACTATTAAAGTAGAGTTTAATATCGATATATTACGATATTTCAGCTTTTTTTCGAATCTATATTTATTAGCTATTAATAAGATATATCTAATTAACGAATAATAGATCTTTCGATTAACGTACTTTAATCTTAAGATTCTTCGTATACGATTATCAGATTGAATTCCGCTCTTAAATATATCAGCAATAGTTAACGTAAAAATACTCGAGATTATACGAGATTAATATTATTTTACTAAAGATATGGTTATTATAAAGACGCCGCTCGATCGACTAGAAATATATCTATAATTAAGTCTTATCTATTATTCTCTAAATAATATACTCGATCTCTAATATCTTCTCTCGCCGAAAATTGTTACTCTAGAGAATATCTCGAAAATAATTATCTTTATAGATTTTATAAAGGCCGTTATAGATGCGTATAAATGAATACGAATCTAAATACGAATATTATTTTATTTAATCGAGTATAATAAGTTAATTATATCCTATTTCGCGCTTATAACGAAGCGTAATAAAGATAATATCGCGACGCGCTTCGGTATACTATTAGAGTAATATTTATCGCTATATATTATTATTATAATAAACGTCTATAGAATAGAGGTTAATAATCTAGATATTTAGAGAGTCGTTTAGTGGCTACTATCGTCGTCTATTTAGAAAGTATATTAACGTTTAAATCGCGCTATACGCTATAATCGCGAGTAAGCGTAATTTACTCTACTATATTTATCTTAATACGTAAGTCTTAAAAGTAATATAATTATAGCCGAGAATAATACGGTAATAGAGACTCTTTCTAAATTAAAGAAATTATGTGTAAATTATACGAAGGCTAATCGACGAGCTCGAATAATATCTAAATTATATAATCTTATTAATGTATTTACTAAGAACTATATTCGTAATATTAGTCTTAAATTTTTCGATAATAAGAAGTATAGATAGCTAGATTATATTAAGTCTTTTTTATATTATTTAACTTATAATTCGAAGTTATAAACGCTTATAAATATTTATATCGAGTTAAATAAATTAGCGAATAAGAACTCGCTTATATAATTTTAATTTATTTCTAAATTTAATATATAAAGGGAGTATAAGACGAGTAAAAAGTTTATCGATTCTTATATACGCTTTTTTCTATTATTAATAATACTTAATAAAGTATTAGAAGATTTAGCGATATAGGCGAAATATATTTATAATAAAAAGATTATACAATAGTAAATTGGCGGTAAATAGCCTAAACTTTTACTATACTATTCGAAGATCTTAGAGATTCTAAAGTAAAGGCGAGTAATAAACTCTAATTAAGAAGAAATATTCGATATGTAAATACTTTAAAACGATATAAAGCGAAAGCGATATCTAGATCTACGCGTAAATATAAAGTAGATTAATTTCGATAAGCGGCGGGATAGTTAAATAATCGATTATAAATATAAAGATATTATTATAATAAAAGCTAAAAAAATAACTATAAAAAAGATATATAATATTATTAATAATACGAGTATAAAGAGTAGTAATCTTAGCGAGAAGATAGTAAGATTAAAGTAATTAGTTAAAACTATAGAAAAGAGAGATAAGTAGACTATCGATAGTTAAGTCGATAAGTCTTATAATAAAGAAGGTTTAGTATTAAGAGAAAGCCTAGGGAAAAAAGCGAAAAGATTAATAAGATAATTAATAACGCCGCGGCGGGTATAATAATCACTATAGAAACTATCGATGAATAAATATACAAAGTTATTATCGACTTAATCTTATAAATATCGCGAGATTTCTACGCGATATCGTAAGTAAGTAAAAGACGATAAACCCGCGTAATATAAATTTATCGTCTATTTATAATAAGCGTAGATCTTATCTTAAGAATTAAGAGCTAAAATTAAAATTATCGGGCTATTAAATATGAAGATATCTACGATAATAGAATTCGGGGGAAGGTCGCCCTTCTAATTATTATTATTTATTATCGAGAAGCCTTAAACGTAGCGCTTATTATACTTAGATATATTTCTACTTAAGCGATTAAATTTTAAATAAAATAAATTAACTATTAAATTTAGAGAGAATCTATCTTTTCTTTTATACTATATAAGTAACTTATATATAAGATTAATAGCTATACTTTATATATTCTCTATAACGAACTTCGCTAAATAAATATTTAATATTAATTTATCGAAGATAAGCTTTACTATTCTTTTTAATTTTAAGAAATATAAATTATTAAGCGCTTAATTCTCGAGTAGAATATCGCTATATTTGAAATAATAAAATCGATTATATTAAAAAGTCTTAAGATTATTATTTAAAAGCTTAAGAAGGCGATTAAGCTTAAAGCTTATATTCGACTTATCTTATAGATTAATAAAGCTATTTATTAGTATATATCGCTATAATTACTTTATTATTATCGATAAGTCTATAATATAAAGCGTATAAAGTATAGTCTATATATACTTTAAGATATTAATAATCTTCGCTTAAAAGAGAATTACTATATAACGTAGAGCGTAATAAAGAAAATTAATATTTATATATTTAATAGCGTAATTAAGTATTAAGTAAAGCTTAATATAAATATAAAAGTTCTAATAATTTTAATATTATTAATCGTAGATTAGGAGTTATATAGCGAGAGTCGTAAACGGCGCTAAGATATAAATTCTCATTAATATTTAATTTAATATCTAAAGCTAAAAGTCGCCTCGGCTAATACTTTATACTTTAAGCTAGAGTTTTATATCTTTTACTCTACTTAGATTAATATACTTCTATCTTAATAATCTAATTTATATTTCTATTATTTATACTTAATAGCTATAAATAATTAAGTTCTTTAATATCTAAAAATTCTTTAGCTAAATAATTCTAAAGCGATTTTAGCGATCTATTATATATTATAAAGTAAATAAATTAATAGCGTTACTTATTTTCTAGTAAATCTTATAAAGTAACTATAATAGATTTAGATAAAGATATTAAAGTTCTAAGTCGAATAATAGCCATCTAAAGCGATTAAATAGAAGTTTTAATATCTTATCGCGTAAAGTCTTAATAGACTATATTCTTAATTATATTTTAAGATTACTATATATTAAATAAATAACTATATTAAATATCGAATTATCTTTCTTTAACTTAAGCTAATACTTAAATATATTATTTAATATATATATATTATT